TCTTCGGCGTCGCGCAGGCCGCCCGCGCGCTCGAGGGCCAGCGGGCCTAGCGGGGCCCCGCAGAGCGCGCGCCTGACTGGCCCAGGTGATGAGGCGAGTCCTGCCGGCACTACAGCCCAGACGGGGGGCGCGGAGAGTCGCGGCGCAATGCCGGCTTACCCAGCTGGCGACCCCGACGGCCCTGCGCTGCCGTCGGAGGCGTTGCTCGCCGGGCAGTCTGGGCCCGGGGCGCCGCCGCCTGCCGCTCCATCGCCGAGCGCGGCGGCAGGGGGGCGGCGCCTCGCCGCCGAGCCGTCGCGCGCGCGGCGAATGATTTGTTTCGCCCCTTCCCGCGGCGGCGCCCGCCGTCGGCGACGGGAATCCACCCGCGACGATGGTCCGAGGACTTGGCTCGGACAACGCAGCACTTCGAACGGTGCTTGCTTCTGTCCCAAGTCTACCTGCTTGGAGACGCGCGATGACCTTCGGATACCTACCAACCAAGCAATACACACTTATAACTTACCACATCCAGCAATCTATCACCCAAGGTGCACTTAGCGCTGCAATACTTGATCCGGAACTGCTTCAGGATTGAGAGTGCGGGCGCACTCCGACTTGCTAAGATTCTCTACCGACTGCCAGCAGTCGCACGCGCGGGCAGCTGCACCCTGGCACGTTACACCAGGGCTTTCACTATTGCGAGTCAAACGGCACAGCCCTCGACATATACGCGATTATTGGGTCCGCGCATGCAATGTTAACGCAGTGCTTGAAATCATCTTAACCTCAGGCCGGCCTCGACAAGGACCTTTCGAAAGAGAACGCGGGCGGCCCTGCCCCGCGCGGCGACTTGCGACCAGCGGAAACGCCAGAGGACGAAGTGCCCCCGCCTTCAGGGCGCACCCCTGCGATTCAAAAGGAATCGGAAGCCGACCTTGAGACGCATGTCTTCGAGGCCTCGTGTACTGAACTCCAGGGTGATCGACCTTCTTGAGGCTGCGACACCGGGGCCTCCTTGCATAATATTTACTATGATGGCATCTGACCAGGCGGTCTCGATTGCAGTAGCTAGCGACGACCCAGGTACTCGTCATCGCGGAGACGCGCGCTATCGCAATTCAGATGTTCACCAGGTCTCCGCGACCCCCCGCTATGACGAGAGCAATGCGCTTGATGGCGACAAATATATGTCCAATCTATAGAGCTGTGCTTTGTAGCAGATATGGCCGGAGTTGTCCATGCAGAGCAGCAGTGCAGACGATTGCAGAAACACAGCGTTACCGCGGTGCGGATGTGTATATGTATATATATATATATATATATATATATATATATAGGTATATATATATACACAAATATTCTATATATATATATATACATGTATATGCGTAGCTGCTCAGCAGGCGGCGGCGGTAAAGGAAGTCGACGTGGTCGCTGCGGCCGAGAGGGCAGCCATATCCAGTCCAGGTAGAAAAAGCATTCTACATTGAGCTAAAGACTCGGTTTGGATAGCAAGCGCTTCACGATGACATCTTTCAGGGGCCTCAAACGTCATGACCTTTCGCTGCGCATGTAGATGGACGTTCGCCAAGCGTGACAGAAGAGACATGGCCAGGGCAAGTCGTTTGAGACCTGTCCTGCGAGGATCCATGGGCATAGAAGCCCATGGTGAAGAAACCTTTTCAAGAACAGCCAGAAGGTCAAGCCTGCGTCTACTGGCCAGCGAAGGCGCATGTTACCTTCATTAATAATTGCGTCTATGGATATAGGCAAGGCATCCCAAAAAGGGCCTCACCTACCGTGAACTTGCAGAAGCCACTGGAGAGCGGGAACGCATTGTACGCCTTACACTACCACCTGGACCGGTGGCTGCGTTACGAACCCTCCCTGGTCTGGAGGCACGGAAGTCGCCGCTGCTTGCAGCGCCTGGAGTCAGGCACCGCGACGAAGGGCGCTCCAGGAGCCCTCTCCCTGAAGCCTCGCAACATCACGCGCGGCTTCGGCCTGCGTTTCCCGTCGCGGGACGAAGACTTCGAAACGGCGGAGGCGGCGCTGACGGCCAAACGCGGGCGTCATCGATGTGGCTGGACAGGAGGAAACTATCGATCCCCCCGCGAAATTATTCGGAAGCGCGTTTGGCGCGCGCAAGCCCAACAAGCGCTTCTGCAGTCCGATGTGCGAAGAACGAAAATGGAGATGATGTTTTGGGTCAGGGCGAATACATTAAACAGCTTCGCCTCGTTGAACACCCTGACCTCGCGGGGGCGGAGGCCGAGGGGAAAGCTGCGAAACTTGTAGCAGACATGTTCGGCCGCTTCCGCCGTGGGGAATTAGCATGCGTCCTCATGGCCCAGGCCTGGTCGATGGTTTGCGATGTCTCTCTGCGACGGGTTCAAGAACTCAATATCCAGGTGCGGCGACTGAATCCAATTGCGCGGGAACTGCAGAATCAAACTCAGGATATTGTCTTCTTTGCAATGATGCCCACTTGAGAACTCGACCTACACGGCGAGTCCGGCTATCGACGTTTGAGCGGGGACGCTGAAGACGAGACGTAAGGACACGGCATCAGAGGTGCCAGCATGCTCCGGCGTGGAAACGCGTGCAGTGGCAAATATGTCGTGCATTTGATCGCTGCCTACTGCATGTCGCATCGACTGCCGGCGAGATCAAGCTACTCTGTGGAAGCGCAAGCAGCGGCCCATAACGTAGAGGACTGCTACGCGACCGCAGTGGGCGAAAGGCGGGGCCGCCTACACCGACTCAGTTCAAACGTATACTTGGAATAGGCGGTCTCTGTATCAAAGCCACCCTCACCATCGATGCTGAGTCGGCATTTGAATCCTTGTCCAACAAAGCCCTCAAACAAACTTACATAATGAATGCACACTATTACGACACATCAGCTGGATGAGACTGGTGATGGATATACGTATCGTAGACAGCATACAATGGTATGACACGCAAGATATGACTGGCCGCAGACATACCACAGGCGATATCGAACTGGACTTGCCGTTGCAAGTAGTGGCGGGAGCGCCATCTTTTGAGCGCGAGCTAAAGAGTTACACTCGTTAAAAGGGCTCCGACCTCGAAGGTTGGGCCCAGCTCATAACGATCCAGCGGATCGCTTCTATTTGGCGTGGAACACGCGGTGAGATGAACACATATGTGCGTTGCGTTTTGCTTGTAATCTTCTCTTTTCATTGTGCTGTCTGCGCCCTTGGGCCCCTGCCAGAGGGGCCCCGCAGCGCTGTCGTTGGCGCATGGCGTGGCCTGGCTCGATGCCGGATCGCGCCTACCGGCGTTTCGAAGCTCGTGTCAACACGAGACTTTGCGCGTTTTCTTTTGCAGGAGAATTCGCTGAATCTTGCCGCTCACTTCGCTCGTCTCCTTCCCCCTTGGTTCTGAAGTAGGAGTCCAGATCATATGTGTATAGCGAGCATAGCGAGCGTGCCGCCGGCGTCTGGCTCAAGGTGCCGGCGCCCGATGCGCCTGGACCGCCAACAGATGGTTTTTTGGACCAGTCTTCTGGATGATACACCATCTTACACCATATACAATTTTTTTTTACTACGTGGTCCTCATCCTTGTTTACACTGTTCTGGGAGCGTACTGGCACCCCTGGGCTTCATCTGTGGCCGGAATGAAGACGAGAACGCGCACACATGTGTAACAACTTGAGTTATACCACAATGATGGAGTTTTGTTCAAGAGCGTTTGTTTGATATTCCATTACAATGGAACTATGTTGGCACATTGGGCCACTTTTACCCCATGTGAATCAGATCGAGGCCGTCTCGAACTCGTCGTTTCTGTTGTAGGGGCTCTCGAAGCTCCCTTGCCCCCTGGCGCCAGCTCTGGGGCCACGTCAGATTTTCAAAGTCAAAACAGCGTTGTAAAATTGCCGACGTCAGTCTTCATTGTGATTGGCTTGACGCTTTTTGACAACATTGGTCCCTTGGAGGATCTTGGAGACACCTCGGGAACTTATGTGGGGTCTCTTGGGGGCATTTTGGGGGTCTACGGTTTCTTCGGTGCTCACTGCAGTACTGACTGGGCGCCCCCCTCCGTTGCCGCCATCATTTTGAAGTGATTTTGGCCGGCGAGCCCGCCGCCATGTTGTTGTTTTTTCCCCGCGCTTGTTTTGTCATATGAGTTTGCTAACTCTGGCGCCTGGGAACGCCCGCGCGCGCTCGCGGGCGCTTGCGAATGCCCCGGCGGACGCCTGACAGCGCATGCGAGCGTTTGGGAGCGCCTGCGCGCGCATGCGAGCGCTTGCGAGTTCTTGCGAGTGTTGGGGGGAGGTCGCCCAGGAGCGCATCCAAACGCTTGGGAACGCCAGGAGGCGCCTGGGAACGCGTGGGAGCGCTTGCACCCGCGTTTGATTTCCTTTTTTTTTATTATCAAATATAGATATGTATGGTTTTGTGTATGTATGTATATATATATACACATATATGTATGCATCGTATATATATATATATGTATATATATATATATAGATTCGCTGTAGTTTTATTCAACTGGTTCCAGAACAGAGCCCGCCATAATCATTCCGTATTGGTTACAAGACGATTCGCCGCCACTCTCTTATCGGGAGTTCCAGCTGGTTTGCATTTGTTGGTTTGTCTCGCCGCCGTTTTCTTCGATACGTCAGTTACTCTTTCAGGTTTTTTTCTCCGCCGCCCGCTTATTCTCTGATATGGAGTATGTTTTATTGCGTCCGGTGTCATCACACCTTGGCCAATGTATGTGTACCCCTGGGTTTGTTAAGGCTTGTGGGGGTCCCCTGAGGGCCTCCTGTAGGCTTTTGGGCCTCTCTTCGGGTACATGTGACATGTGAGGCCACTTTGGGGGGCAATTTCGATCCTGATTTGCAGATTCGCCAGCCACCTTCAGTAACCTGTCAAATTCTTTGGGCGTTTTGGGAGGCGTAGGCGGCAATCCTAGAACTTAGGGGCATCGTAGGACGGCTCCGGGCGATCTTGAAGCCAACCAGGACACCCGCGGCGTGGATGGCCTTCGCCTTCGGGTTCAAGTACGTGGCAGCCTTAGCTCTATTCCGTTCCACGATGCAGACTCCTCCTTGATCACCGAGTGCCGATGGAAGAGACACGCTGACTACGACCAAGATGCCACGGGATCTTATCGACGCCAGTCTTGGTCATGGTCCACGTTGACCCCACCGTTTCGCTTGGATGATCAACGAGGTGGCGATTCGCTAGATTGCCGATGACCAAGATCAACACAAGACAGCATCAACACAAGACATATGCCCATACCGCTACTCCCCAGACTCGAGGCGAATCCAGCCTTGGCGACGAGGGCCACCAAGGACGCCCGGCAAGGCGAACGCGAGGGAAGGGTGGCGGTATCCGTACCTCTCCCGTTTTCGAGATCAGTTCTGGTCATGGTTATCTCGTTGTTCTTCCCCTCCTGGGAGGGCGCAGGTTCCGCCCCCCGTGCGCCGTGCGATCGCCGTGGCGCGCACCCCTGCGGCCCCAGGGAGCAGAGAGCCAGGAGGAGGATACCAAGGACGAGGACGGCGACGAGGACGGCAGGGATCGACGGTCGAAGGATCGAAGCCTGCACCGCCAGGAATCTGCGGAGGCCCGCGCGAAGATGCTGGATTGGCGCTGGGCCCCCCCCGCCCTGGAGGGGGCTGCCACGCCGCCCCTGGCGCGCCCCGCGCCCCAGGGAGGGGGGGAAAGCTGCGCGGACCTCCGAACGGCTTTTGAAGTCAAAAACGTTTGTTTTAATTCAAAGTATTGGCTGTTGCAATCAATAACTGGTTTCTGAAGTCTTGTGCTGCGAATTGTTCCCCAGTGACACACGAGATTCGCGGCTTCGAAAGAATTGGAGCGGCTTGTTTTTTGCCGATTTCGGCTTCCAGGGCTTCCAACGGGCCCAAGGACCGTCAGATGACACTAAGGGTGAAAACCTGGCCCATGGGGAGTCAGACACTCGCGGATGTTTTTGTTTCTGTCTGCGGCCCCAGATATATCGACCCCTTCCTTTGGGGCAGTTCGCTGCCTGGATCCGCTTTTCGTTGCGCAGTGGCCCGGCGGACAGATTCGTATCCGCGCCCCCGCGGTCTGGATTCCGGGGCGCGATACTGCGGATGCTCGGCCACACGGATACGTTGTGCGCGGGGCATCCGCGAAAAAATGTTCCGTGTCCATGTGGTCGCGAACCAGGGGCCCTGAATATGGATGCGCTTTCCGCCTGCGAAAGCTCGATCTTATTTGGTTCCGACTTTCGCCCTGAAGGACACGGGTCCTCAGGGAAGTGGGCCTCGGGTTTTTAAGAGTGTTTGGCTTTCTGGGGACCTCCGCGGGCCCTGAGGCTGTCAGAAAATGATTTAGGATGCAGAAGTTGTCCTGGGGGAAGGCACCAGGGTCCAGGACCGCGTTTCTCATGCCAAGAATTTCGGACGGTTTGATGCCGCCCGATAGTTGTATGGCGTTGTTGTGCGTCGTGGCGTGGCAGATCCGATTCGATTTCGTCCCCGTGCTGATTCGGACCCATCCGACACACCTTCCGATTCGATCTGGCTTCCATAGTCGATGCTGACTGATCCTGCCTAGCTCATCCGAGCTTGCCCCCCTATTACTGGTCTTTCAGAGAAGAAGGGGAACTCGGGGAGACAACCCGTGGAATCTGCAGATGCGTCCTTTATCGAGGATGGACGCAGCCCCATCGTATGTCGCCGAGTTGGGCCCCCTTTGTTCTGTCACCGAAGAAGATTTTTTTTATAGGCTCCAGGGGTGACACGTGTCCCCCCCCCCCCATCCCGCGCTCCCTTCCCCCTATAACGGTAACGCCTGGGAATTGGCCACAGGGGTGAATTTTTGCAGTTTCCATAAGATTTCGCATCCCCATGAGGAGGAGGAGGAGGAGGAGGAGGAGGAGGAGGAGGGGGAGGGGGAGGGGGAGGAGGTGGAGGAAGAGGAGGAGGAGGACGACGACGACGACGAGCGACGTGGCCCGGAGCCTCCCGATGGTGCACAGGCATTGTCGTCATCGCCGGCGTCGTCGGCGTCGTCGTAGTGTTCTGCCTTCTCCAGTATTGCAAAGCGTTTCACGCAGCCGCTGTGGCGTCGGCAGGGGCGGTGCTGCGGTGTACACAAGCTCCCTGGTGCACGCAGGCTCTCTGGTGTGCGGCGACGGTGTAGTGTACACGGCTGGTGTGATGTGCGCAGGCGCCTTGGTGCACAAAATCGGTCTAGTACACACAGGTACTGTGGTGTGCAATGGCGCTGTTGCTCAGGCGGGTGTTGAGGTGCACAGAGGCGCTGTGGTGTACACCGGCGATGTGGCGCCATGGTGTGAAAAGTGGCACCAAGGTACACACAGGCGCTGTGGTGTCCGCAGGCGTTGTCGTGAACACCTGTGTTGCGCCAGGGTTGTGGGCGCGCCTGTGGGGGTGCACGCCGACCGCCGTTCATCGTTACCCCCCCTGTCGGACCCCCCTTCCCCCCTCCTGGGTAACACGTGTAACCCCCAGTGGATAAAAGAACGACCTCGAAGCCCCACGAAGTCGGGCATTGTGGCCGCCATACCCCCCGATAGCGAGGTCACCACGCACCCCAACTCGGGCTTCCAGCAGCAGTACCTCTCCCGCATGGACCTCGTGGGAGGGAAGCAGATCTGCATCCAGGGCCTGGCGGGCCGGGGCCCGCGGCCCCGTGGACACGGAGCGTTTTGAGCGCGGATGCTCCGCGCAGAACGTATCCGTACGACCGCGCATCCACGGAATCGCGCCCCAGATTCCAGACCGCCAGGGCGTGGATTCCGAGCATGTTCTATGGGTGGAGGGCAGAGGGTGAAATCTGAAGTGCCGTTTCGATGGATGTTCGAGGCTTGAATCTGCAAGAGGTGAATAACAAGACGGATTGATTTTCGAGGTGCGAGAGCCCATATGGATTTCACCCTCAGCCCTCCACCCTAGAGAAAATGTCCAGGATTGGTAGGGTCTCAGGTTGCGCGCTGACAGCCCCCCCAGATGGTCCCAGCTTGCCTCAGCAGGCCCCCCGAGTAGTCTGAGGCAGTCTCATCACCTCAGCCCTGTGCCGCGGGCGGCGCGAGTGTGGTGAGGCCGCCCCTGGCTACTCGGGAGGCCTGCTGAGGCCACCTGGGGCTGCACCCCGAGGCCTTACCCGGACATCGGGCGATGTGAAGTTTTTCCATGCGCGGCCCCAAAAGTCTCGACCACTTTCCTGGGGCCAGCTTCTTGCCGCGGATCCATATTCGATGGCCCCGCGGGGCCCAGATCGTAAGAAAGCGCCTAGATTGGAAGAGTCAGATCGTCGGAGATTTGGCTGATAGGGTGGATAAAGTGGGTTCGCGTCGTGTCGACCGACGGCGACCCCAGCGCGGGCGTCCACGATTGAACGCCGCCCGTGGACCAGAACCCCCCCCCGCAGTGTTGGAAACCAACGCCGAAGTCGGCACCACAAGAAAGTGGAGTGAGCGGTGCGGTAACCAGGGGTTGCGGGCTTCCGGGTGACCGAACGGTTTTGCGACTGGGGTCGTTCTCCGAGGACGTCTCCGGCGACCGATGCTTCCCAGGCTCCAAGACCAAGCGGTTTCTGGGGTCGCTGGCGCTGGGGATTCCGGGGTCATCACGCGGTCCGTCACGTCACGGCTTGAGATTGCTTTATTGCCCAAAGCGGCAAGGTTAGGTTATCTGCTGGCACCTTCCTTCCCACTTGATAATCCAGGTTGCCGGCGAAAACGCAACCACCCATTCCTTTGGGGGGGCCGAAGTCCGCCGTCTGTCAGGACCACTTCAGCCTCGGGGTCATGGGCCTGGAGGCGCTGTTCGTGCTGTGCGGCCAGCAGGCGGGCGACGCGGAGGGCCTGCGCGAGGTGCGGCGCCTCTGCGCGCGCGCGCCGCCGCGTGCGCGGCCCCGCTCGGGGCCACTCGGGACTCGGGGCCCGCGGACACGGCGGGTCCCGCCGACGACGACAGCGATGGGGAGGGCATGCGCGAGGCGTGGCGCCTCCGCGAGCGTGCGCGCGCCGCTGCGTGCGGGGCCCCACTTGGGGCCCGCGGAGCGATGCTGCCTTGGAGAAGGAGTGCGAGTTTGATTGTCGCCTTGAGTGTTTGCGTCGCCTTCGGTTCGGGCCTCCGGGGAGCGCTAGGTGTCCGAGGTCGTGGGCTCAAGCGCGGAGAGCGCCTGAGCATCCGAGGCCACATCCCACCGTAGCTGAGTGGTGGGGCGGCCGCGCGCATAAGAGGATAAATCGTCCACGTCTTGAGTCAGTTACTGCCCCCCGTTTCTTGCTGAACACTGGAATAGTAAAGGAGTGCCCCCCCTTCCGCTCCCAGGGCGGGCATCATCGCTCCCGGCGGCGAAATATGCGTTATTTCCTCTCTCGGGGATTGTCGTCGTCGTCGTCGTCGTCGTCGTCGTCGTCGTCGTCTGTCGTCTGTCGTGATTCGTCTTCGTCGGTTCGCCGTCGCGCTATTCTCCGCGCGACGTCGCCAGCGACCTTGGGCCGCTGAAGCAGTCTTTATCGAAGATGCCTGTGGCGAATCACCACCGCCCCCTGCCTTTCAGGATGCGCCGATATGGCCAAACGTTTGGGCAAAGTGTGGCCACGCTATTGGGTCATGCGTCCCCCCAGCCGTTGTGGAAGCCCTTCGGGGAACACGTTGGGGAGGAAGAGGAGGATTAGGAGAGGGAGGAAAAAGGAAGATGAGGAGAATAATGAGGAGATCTCGTGGGAGCATCTTGGGTTATTATTGTTGCCTCCTGGGAGGCCTCTTGGAGGCCTCTTGGAGGCCTCTTGGAGGCCTCTTGGGGGCCTCCTTGGGCCTGGTGGGGGCTTTTTCTCCTTGTTCGCAAGGGCGTGCGCGGACTTCTGTTGAGCAGCCATGTCGCGCAACCTTGTGTTTCCCAACAATCCATGTTTCTGGGTCCTGGCTTTGAAGGGACAGCGCCCCGCGCTGCTCACCTCGCATCCTCCCTCTCCCCTCACCCCTCCTCTCCCCCCTCCTGCCGTGTCTCCTGCGCCTTCTGTGCGTCTCTGTTCTGGCGCGGCCCTCGCGCGCTTCGCGGCCCCACGGGGGGCTCCACGGAATGTCCCAGCAGTAGCGCCCGGAAGGCGCCACCGCGCTCCGTTTCGCGGCCCCATCGGGAGCTCCACCGAAGGCCCAAGTGGCAGCGCCCGCATGGCACCACCGCGCCCGCTTCGGCGCGCCCCTCGCACGCCTCGCGACCCCGCGGCGAGCTCCACCGAAGGCCCCAGTGGCAGCGCCCGCGTGGCACCACCGCGCCCGCGTCGGCACGCCCGTCACACGTTTCGCGTCCCCGCAAGGGTGCTCCACCGAAGGCCCCGCGGCAGGGCCCGCATGGCATTATCGCGCACGTTTCGGCACGCCCTTCACACGCTTCGCGGCCCCATGCGGAGCTCCTCCGAAGGCCCCAGTGGCAGCGCCCGCTTGGAACAACCGCGCCCGTCTCTGCACGCCGTTCATGCGTTTCGTGGCCCCGCGGGAACCTCCGCGCGGCGCCACCGCGCCAGTTTCGGCACGCCCACCACGCGCCAAGTGGCCCACAAAGGGAGCCCCACCGAAGGCCCCCAGTGGCAGCGCCCACATGGCACCACCGCGCCAGTTTCGGCACACCCGTCACGCGTTTCGTGGCCCCGGTATGGGGGTACCACCAAAGTCCCCAGCGGCAGCGCCCGCGTGGCACCACCGCATCTGTTTCGGGAAGCCCCTCTTAAACGCTTCGTGGCCCTATATTGCAGATCTCCATCGAAGGCCCCAGCGGCAGCGCCCGCGTGGCGCCACGACGCCCGTTTCGGCACACCCGTGACACGTTTCCTGATCCCCAGAAGTGATCCATCGAAAGCGGTAGGTACCCGCGTCGCGGTTGCCACAACTGCACATGGCTGGGCCTGTCGCCAGGTTGTTTGAAAGTGTTCGGGGCACTCGGCATTTGAGTTCCTTGCGACACCTACGGTTTTTGACAGAATCCGGCATATGCGCGCGGCGAGGCGCGCGCGTGCTTTTCGTTTTGGTTTTGTTGCGAGACGTTTCTGGATAATGATGACCTTTGGTCAACGAGCGCGCGCCCACGGTTCAATCTGGCGTGGGCGGCAGGAGGGGGTCGGGCCCAGTTTGGTTTGGATGTCTTGATTCATTGTTAGACTGAGCGATGGTGACCCTGGCTGTGATCCCGGCTGTCGCCGCCCCGCCGTTGTGGGACCAGGAGGGAAGGAGAGCGACGCCGGTCCCGCAATGCACGCGGGGGGCATGTCGCCGAGACGAGCCCAGGAGTCCGCAGTCCGAAGTGTGGGCACAGGTTCGCACATGGAAACAATCAGGGCCGTCAGCAAGGCTCGAACGCGCGGATGATTGGTCCACGTTTTGCCACATGTTTTTGTGCAACCATTCTGTGGTTTTGGGTCTTTGTTTTGAAGTGACGGCGCCCCTGGTTCCTCCTCCACCTGTCTTCCTTTTCCTCCCTCCTCCCTCCTCCCACCACTGCCTCGGCCTTCCGTACCATTCAACCATTGCTGCATGCCCCTCGCACAAATCGTGTCCCCATAGGAAGTTCCACCGAAGGCCCCAGTGGCAAAGGTCGCATGCTTCCACTCACCCAATTCGGCACGCACCTCACAAGTTTCGTGGCCCCACAAGGAGGCTCCACCGAAGGCCCCAGTGGCGGTGTTCGCATGCGTCTCCGCACCCGACTCGGAACACCCATCAGGTGCTTCGTTGCGGGGTTCGCATGCGTCCCTGCACCCGACTCGGCACATCCCTCACTGCTTGGCGGCCCCATGGGGGGCTCCACCGAAGGCCCCAGTGGCGGGGTTCGCATGTGTCCCCGCACCCGACTCGGAACACCCCATCACAAGTTTCGTGGCCCAATGGGGAGTTCCACCGAAAGCCCCAATGGCAGTGCTCGCATGCGTCCCCGCACCCGATTCGAGACACCCCACCACACGTTTGGTGGCCCCACAAGGAGGTCCACCGAAAGCACCAATGGCGGTGTTCGCATGCGTCCCCGCCAACCATTTCGGCAACACTCTTCACACGTTTCGTGGCCCTACAAGCAAGCAGCTCCACCGAAGGCCGCAGTGGCGGTGTTCACATGCGTCCCCGCCATCCATTGCGGCTCACCCCATCACACGTGCCGTGGCCCCATAGGGAACTCCACAGTAGGCCCCATAGGCGACGTTCGCATGCGTTGCCCCCGTCTACTACTACTACTACTACTACTACTACTACTACTACTACTACTACTACTACTACTACTACTACTACTACTACTACTACTACTACTACTACTACTACTACTACTACTACTACTACTACTACTACTACTACTACTACTACTACTACTACTACTACTACTACTACTACTACTACTACTACTACTACTACTACTACTACTACTACTACTACTACTACTACTACTACTACTACTACTACTACTACTACTACTACTACTACTACTACTACTACTACTACTACTACTACTACTACTACTACTACTACTACTACTACTACTACTACTACTACTACTACTACTACTACTACTACTACTACTACTACTACTACTACTACTACTACTACTACTACTACTACTACTACTACTACTACTACTACTACTACTACTACTACTACTACTACTACTACTACTACTTACTACTACTACTACTACTACTACTACTACTACTACTACTACTACTACTACTACTACTACTACTACTACTACTACTACTACTACTACTACTACTACTACTACTACTACTACTACTACTACTACTACTACTACTACTACTACTACTACTACTACTACTACTACTACTACTACTACTACTACTACTACTACTACTACTACTACTACTACTACTACTACTACTACTACTACTACTACTACTACTACTACTACTACTACTACTACTACTACTACTACTACTACTACTACTACTACTACTACTACTACTACTACTACTACTACTACTACTACTACTACTACTACTACTACTACTACTACTACTACTACTACTACTACTACTACTACTACTACTACTACTACTACTACTACTACTACTACTACTACTACTACTACTACTACTACTACTACTACTACTACTACTACTACTACTACTACTACTACTACTCATAGGAGGGGGGGCACCGAAGGCTTCGGAGGCGGCGCTCGCCTGCGCTCCACTTACCCACCAGGAGCTCCACCGAAAGCCCCGGAGGCGACGTTCGCATGCGTTTCTCCCGCCCAGAATAGCGTGTCGTGGCCCCGTAGGGCGCTTCACCAGAGGCCCCGGAGGCGACGTTCGCATGCGTTCCCTTCGCGAAGTACACCGCTTCGTGGCCCCATGAGCGGGCTCCACCGAGGACCCCAGTGGCAGCGGCTGCATGTCTTTTCTAAACCCAGTACACCGTTGCGCGGCCCCATAGGGAGCTTCACAAGAATTCCGTGGCCGCGGCTGCATGCGTCTCCCACACCCAGTACAATGCATCGTGTCCCCACTAGGGGTTCCACCGAAAGCTCCAGTGGCCGCGGCCATATGCATTTCACCCACGCAGTGCAGCGCTTCGTGGCCCCATAAGGAGCTCCACCGAAGAATCCAGCGGCCGCGGCCGTATGCGGTCCCCCACCCGGCACAGCGTTTCGTGGCCCCATAGGGAGCTCCACCGAAGACCCCAGTGACGGCGGCCCCACGCGTCTCACCCACCCATTACGGCACCCTCCGAACACGTTCTTGACTTGATGAGGAGTTCCACCGAATGTGGTATTCACAATTGCATGTGGTTGGGTCCTTCGCCTTGATACTTGGGATTTTGTTGATGCTTCACATGTCCCCACCAGCCCATTCGTAAACGAATGTAGATGCAAGATGCCACGACACCATATGTGAGGTAACACTAGTTAAACAACTAGAGGGGGCACTTGACAAAGCAGAAGAGGGAACGACCAACGCTGTGTCGAAGTTGACAGCTTCGGGTTCTCTGGAAAAGCCTCCCGACGCCATATGGGGTCTCCCGTGGAGACCTTTGGAGAGGCGTCGGTTCCCCCTTGTGGGCGTCGTTGGGGCTTTCTTGGGGCCATGGCGAAGTGCATCGGCCGACTATGGGCTCGTGAGCAGGGCCAGAGCAGCGGATTGCGTGTCGGTTGCATGCCACCTGCCACCGTGCAATTTAAGTTCTTCCTTACATGTAGCCGAGGGCGGCCAGATTTGGTGATTTTACCCGCTATTCCCCCCATAATCCGAAGGACAATTCAAGAAGCTAGGCTTCAGAGGCTTGCGTTCGTTACATCTCGGAGGTCTCAACTTCCTCCTCTCCTTTATATCCGGCTCATCCTTATCTTCCTTCTTGTCTTGCCAATTCTTACCGTTTTCTTCTTCCTCTTCTTCTTCTCCCTGCTCCTCCCACGCTTCCTGCCCCCCACTCCCATCCTTCTGTATTTCTCTCCCCCAGCCCCCTGCCTTTTCCCTTTTCATACTGGTGTGCTGCCTCCTTCGCCCCTGGATTCCTCCTTTCAGTTCCCCCCTCTTCCTCTCAGCCTCCCTCCACTTCCCCCTGCCTTCTCCCCGCCCCTTCTTCCATCGGACTCGGCCCCCCCTCTTCCCGGCCTCTTCTCGCGCACCGACCCCCCCCTCCTCCCCTCGCCCTGGCGCCCGCTTCTGCGCACCCCACCGCAGGCGCTGGGGTACTGGACCCAGAGGTCCGAGGCCCTCGAAAAAGTGGAGCGGCCGGTTATGTGTTTTTTGCGGCCTTCCAACGGAGCTCAGGACAGTCCAACAAGTACTCAGGACCAAGAGCAGACCCTGGGGAAGCTGTCCAGACCTCTGGGGGTCCGCGCATCGAAGAAATTGGAGCGCCAGGTGTCTGGGGATGCCCCGCTGGGGTTCGCCTGGCTGCAGACGTCCTTCGCCTTCTGACCACCAGCCAGCTTTTCAGAATTCTGACCTGCAGGGGTGGGGCTCACATGCATGCGCTGTTAACTGCTGGCTTTGCTTCTGCTGGCCAGGCACACGATGCGTTCTCCAGCTTTCACTCTGACGGCCACTGGAAACCGCCAAAGACCGTCACGACACCGCCGGAAGCCGCCGAAGACCGTCCGAAGACCGCCGAAGGCGGCACAGGACCCGAAGGTAGCACAGGATCCATGGTCGAAGTCGTAGCAATATGTGGTTGCCTGCCGTTGGCTTTCTGTTGCTGGCCAGGCGCGCGACGCCTGGGCGGTGTTCTGGGCGATCGTGGCGGGGCCCTCGGGCGCGTGTCCAGGCCGCGGCAAGTGCGGCGCGGACCCGCGCGCCGCGCTCGACGGCTCGGAGCCTGGTCGGGGCCCGGATCATGTCCACTGCACCATGCTAGGCAGAGCATCGAGTCTTGGATGGCCTCACAGCCTCCACGAGTCTGCGGGCGAGGTGCCCCTGACACAGACATCGGAGGGGTCGCGAAATGCCCCTGACACAGACATGCGATGTTTTGGTTGCCGGCCACTTAATTACGAGTGGCAGCCCACGCACCGTGTCTACATACATACGTACGTACATACATGCATGCATGCATGCATGAATGCATACATACATACATACATACATGCATGCATGCATGCATGCATGTATACATACATACATACATACATACATACAGGCAGACAGGCAGACAGGCAGGCAGACAGGCAGGCAGACATACATACATACATACATACTTATCAATGCACACATGCATGCACACACATACCTATTTCTATACATGTACACACATGCACACAAACACATCTACACAGCTGCACGCATACATACATACATCCACACACATACACACCGACACCCACATGCATACATATATACATACATGCATGCATGCATACATACACATACGTATACAAGTACATGCATACATGCACACAACCATACATGCAAACGCGTTCCATACGTACATGCGCACATACATACATACCGACCTACCGACCTACATACATGCATAAACACATGCATGCACACACATACACAAACACACATACATACATCCATACATGCATGCATACACATATATATATAAATATATATACATACGTACATGCATACACACGCACACACGTGCATCCACACACACACATATATTTATATATGTATACGCATGCTTTCAAACATACATGCAAACAGACAGACCGACCGACAGGCAGACAGACAGACATGCTAACACACATACACACAGTTTCACACATATATATATATATACATGCCCGCATGCGTGCATGTGTGCATGCACGCATTCATGCGCACATAGCTACATACGTACGTACATGCACACATGCCTACACATAGATGTGTATACATGAGCATCTGTATAAACATGTATAGGCATACGCCTGTGCACATATATACATATATATATATATATATATATATATATATATATATATATATATGTGTGTATATATATATACACACGCATACACCTACACATATATGCATGCCATACGGGAAGGGGGTCCCGGGGGCCCTGGGGAGCACTGATTTTGTACACGGCAGTTTTGGACCCGTCGGGGAGCGCCAAAACGCGTGAAATGAAGGGAACAGGGGCGACGAGAGGGCTCAACAGACGTCCACGAGGGCTCCAAGACGGCCCAATAGCGCTCCGAGAGAGCCCAAGAGCGTTCCAAGATGGTCAAATATAGCTTCAAGACAGCCCAACAAGGCCTCACAACGGCCAAAAGGCCGTTAAATGGAGTCCGACGAGGCCCTCAAGAGGCGAAAAGTCCACTGTTTCTGTGTGTGTGTGTCTGTGTTTGTGTATGTACGTATGTATGTCTGTTTGTTTGCTTTGTTTTTGTGGTAAAGAAACAGTTGTCCGTGTTCTGACTTGTTCATGTTTCCGACGGGCCCCAACAGCCCACGCGGCCCAAGAATTCGGCCCAAGACGGCCCAAACGGCTCCCAAAGAGGGCCTCAGGACGGCCCAAGAGAGTCCCAAGATGGCCCAAGGGCGCTCCCGTAGCCGTTTTGGCTCAAGCTGCGCAGCCGTGCAGTCGATGGCGGCCCGGGTTGAGGTCAAGCGCTTGCTGCAGCAGGCGACGGACCTTACAATGGCCGAGCTAGATGCGTTCATGGACGCAGGAATGGATGAGCCCGTGAAGAATATCTTAATGGGTTACCAGGGGGACTTCGTGAGGAGATCACGCGTCAGGCGCCCCAGCCTGTCCGCGAGCACCGAGGATCCCTGATCCGACGGCATCTTGAGCAAGGCGTTCTCGGATCTGTCGTTCATCGACCAGAGCTTCCTTCTGAAGGAGACTGCAGGCACTGAGAATGTGGCTTCCACGCAGACGGTCAACAAGGCCATCGGTACGCATTTCCTCGACTTGGATGCTGCCGTCTCCCGGGCGTTCGACGCTCGGGAAGGTGACGAGCATGCCAAGCTCGACATGGACATGGCGGAGAAACTGGCCCGCTGTCAAGGCCGGCGCCAGCAGAAGATCCAGAAGCGCACCCAGTGGAAGCACAATTTCAACAGCCTGAATGGTGAGCACAAGTTGGGCTTCTGCAGTAGCGATTGCGTTCATTGCAAGGAGGCCACCGAGAAATGAGAAGCTCCTGAACTCCAAGCGCGATTTGAAATTTGTGATTTGCTTCCATGGGCACCGCGCTCCAGCCGTGGCGCGGGCCTAGTGGCTTGGTGGTTGCAGCATAGCTGTCTGTCCGAAGAGGCAGCCGTCGACGCCGAAGGGGGGGGGGCGAGAGGACGGTAGGTGCAAGAGTGAAGGGAAGAGGAGGAGAAGGATGAGAGCGAAGTTCATAAAAGGTGACAAATTCGTGGCCCGCTGGAGATCTGACAGCCGCCGTGTCTGGCTGGCTTGACGTTTGAAGTGGGAAGCGGTTTGCCGCCCTGACGAGAAACCACACCACAGTCTGCCTTTCTTCTCGCACACGCGAGAAAGGTTCAACGCTTCATGCGGCAATTTCGTGCATGCATCTTTTTTCTACGAATCGCGTGGCAACTGTATCACATCATGCATAGCGTTTGATCAGGGCACATCGAAATTGTCTGCGTGAAGTTGGATGCAGCTGTTGCTGGGTGCAGCTGTTGGAGAGTATCCCCTGCGATGGGAGTTCCACGCGGCGTGCAGGTAACACCTGTGGATCCAAGGGCGAGTAGGTCCAGTAGGCTGGTTGCGGTATCTGCCCCGGCGGCGGAAGTGGCGGCCGCCGATCGAGCTCAAGTAGGCGACATGTTTGAACATGATTGTCGCTCACTCCTGCCGCCGGAGGCGCGCAGAATTTTCACCCCATGCTTGTCGGGGCTCAATCCCCGAGCAATGTTCGAGGCCAGCGTCATCAAAGCAATCGTGGTAAGCCATTGCGGCATCGCCACGAACAGCGAGCGCCCCAGCGGCAGGGCAGTGAGAAAGACGAGCCCGCCGCATCCAGAGTCCAAGACGGTCCAGATGTCTTGAGGCTGCTCAACGATGTACGGAGGGAGGAGAAGAAGGATCAAAACGAGGGTGGGAGGTGTGATGGGGGACCCGTTCATGGTGGGCGCTTTCTCTTCTACGTTTCAGCGGCTTGTGCAGCAGTGGACGGAGTCCATGCGCCAAATCGAGCCATCGGTCAACCTCTCTCGAGCTGAGTTGCATGATCAGGAGACCTGCCTCAGCCTGTTTGAGTACGCGACGATTTGTACCGCTACACCCTTGTCCCGCAGGGAACAGCCATGGGCCTCTTCCTCGACTTGCTCCGTCAGTCCGATGATTTACTATGAATCACCGTTCGGCCCCCTTACTCTGTCCACTTTCTTCTCCAGCTACCTGCCTCAGGAACACGAGGGTAATGAGACGCGCAGTCATGATCCTCGCATCGCGGATGCCCAGTATGATTGAGTCATGTTATAAATTAGTTTGGCGAAGGACCCAACCATATGCAGTTGTGAATACCGCAAAGATGAATATCGTTTTCGGTGGCGCTACCTCTGGGTAGGGGAGACGCATGCGAACAGCCCCACTGGGGCCTTCGGTGGAGCTCCCTATGGGGCTACGAAGCGCTGCTCTGGGTAGGGAAACCGCATGCGGGCACCCCAACTAGGGCCTACGGTGGAGCTCCCTATGGAGCCACGAAGCGCTGCCCTGGGTGGGGGAACCGCATGCGGGCACCCCCACTGGGGCCTTCGGTGGAGCTCCCTATGGGGCCACGAAACGCTGCCCTGGGTGGGGGAACCGCATGCGGGCACCCCCACTGGGGCCTTCCGTGGAGCTCCCTAGGGGGCTACGAAACGCTGCCCTGGGTGGGGGAACCGCATGCGGGCACCCCCACTAGGGCCTACGGTGGAGCTCCCTATGAGGCCACGAAGCGCTGCCCTGGGTGGGGGAACCGCATGCGGGCACCCCCGCTGGGGCCTTCGGTGGAGCTCCCTATGGGGCTGCGAAACGCTGCCCTGGGTGGGGGAACCGCATGCGGGCACCCGCACTGGGGCCTTCGGTGGATCCCCCTATGGGGCTACGAAACGCTGCCCTGGGTGGGGGAACCGCATGCGGGCACCCCCACTGGGGCCTTCGGTGGAGCTCCATATGGGGCTACGAAACGCTGTCCTGGGTGGGGGAACCGCATGCGGGCACCCGCACTGGGGCCTTCGGTGGAGCTCCCTATGGGGCTACGAAACGCTGCCTGGGTGGAGAACCGCATGCGGGCAGGAGGAGGGGGGGTCGGGAGGAGGGGGGAGGAGGAAGGAAGGAAGGAAGGAAGGAAGGAAGGAAGGAAGGAAAGAAGGAGACGCGGGGCGCTGTCTCTTCAAAACGAGGACCCAACACCACAGGATGGTTGGAAAAAAAGATGGCCCAAGTGCGCTCCAAGACGGCCCCAAGAAGGCCCCAAATGGCGTCAAGAGGGGACAGGAGAGCCCCAAGAGCCCTCCAAGAGGGCCCCAACAAATACAGCCAAGGCCCTCCAAGACACCCCAAGTGGGTCCCAGGACGGCCCGCGAAGGCGTGATGTGGCTCAAAACCCAAGCAGGCCCAGAGACGCTAAATGCATACATAGATTTTCGTGTCCGGCTCTTGTGCTTCATCACGTGACCAGTCCAAGAATCCTAAGTGCAGACGGTGGTCTGAGTTCAAGACGGCCCAAAGATACTCCCGGGACTCCGAAAAGTCGGCTTCAAGGCGGCCCAATTGTTGCTCCATTTGCTATTGATGCTTCTGCCTCATCCTCTCCCTCCCTGTTTTCGTACTGCACCTCCTCGGACAAAAACTATCCCGGCAAAGCAACCTAACAGCGATGTGTAGGAGCATATCTGGAAGCATTCCCCTTAAGATTCAGATGAGAATCCAGTTGTAGAATTCTGCTGTTCTCGCAGTCGTAGTCGCATTCGCGATGACAGTCGCAGTGGCAACGGCAGTCACAGTCACAGCCTCAGCTCAGCCTCAGCCTCAGCCTCAGCCTCAGCCTGCCTCAGCCTCAGCCTGCTTCAGCCTCAGCCTCAGCCTGCAGCTCAGCATCAGCCTCAGCCTCAGCCTCAGCCCTCAGCCTCAGCCTGCATCTCAGCCTCAGCCTCAGCCTGCCTCAGCATCAGCCTGCCTCAGCCTCAGCCTCAGCCTGCCTCAGCCTCAGCCTCAGCTGCTTCAGCCTCAGCCTCAGTCTGCCTTCAGCCTCGGCCTCAGCCTCAGCCTGCCTCATCAGCCTGCCTCAGCTCTCAGCCAAAATGTGGCCCGGGAATGGAGTTCTGGGAACTCGAAGACCACGAAGTGGCCTACAGTTGGCTCCGGGCATTCAAAATGTGGCCCGGGAATGGAGTTCTGGGAACTCGAAGAGCACGAAGTGGCCTACAGTTGGCTCCGGGCATCCAAAATGTGGCCCGGGAATGGAGTTCTGGGAACTCGAAGAGCACGAAGTGTGTGACTGTTGCATCCGGCCCTCCAGAATGTGGCCCGGGAATGGAGTTCTGGGAACTCGAAGAGCACGAAGTGTGTGACTGTTGCATCCGGCCCTCCAAATGTGGCCCGGGAATGGAGTTCTGGGAACTCGAAGAGCACGAAGTGTGTGACTGTTGCATTCGGCCCTCCAGAATGTGGCCTGGGAATGGAGTTCTGGGAAATCGAAGAGCACGAAGTGTGTGACTGTTGGCGAAAAACGAGCCCGGCACCTGCCGCCCGGCAACTCCCAACACCTGCCCGGACCCCCCTGTGGAGTGATCTGTGAGCTCTTTTGAGTCAACTAGAAACCTATCAGTCTTCGCTGTTAGGTAAAAAACGTTGCTTCGAGATGCGTCCCTCCGCTGCTACGACGAGAGCTCCCGAAGACAAAACAACTTTGAACCTTGATCCTCGCCCAGGAGCCTGGCACGTCGCTACCATCTCGCCCCCTTTTTGATACCCCCTCCCCGGGGCCTCCAAGAGGCCTCCAGGACAGCCTAAGATATCCCCAAGACCGCCTCAGAGGCACCAAAAAGAGCAGAAGACGACCAACAACGGCACCAAGAGCGCTCAGGACGGCCTCATCACGGCTCAAGAGGTTCTCAGGACACCCCAGGAGAGCCCCCGGCGCGCCCAAAAGAGGCCTAGATCAGGCCAAACACATTGATGCCCTTGAGGTGTTTGAAAGATGTTCATGGTGCCGCTCTTCCTGGCTTCTCACCGCCGACGACGGCTCCAGGACGGCCCAGGATGGGGCGAAGACGGCCTCGTCACGGCTCTAAGAACGCCCGGAGACAGTTCAAGAGGCCCCCAAACCGACCCCTAAACGGCCCCAAGAGATTTCTCAGATGACTGTGCAAGCCCCACGAGGGTTGTTCCAAAACGGCCCCAAACGACGCACAAGACCGCATCTTCAGCATGCGTCCGTCCAAGAGGCGCAAAGAATGCCGCTCGACAATTCTTCAGCAATGAAGGAAGAGTTATCGAACTTCAGGCTCTGCCGGATGCGACGAGGAGGATTTTCTGGCCTTCTACTGCGCCGCAGTTTGGCCTCAGACGCGTGACCAGAAAGGGAGGTGGGGGTGGCGTTCGATCCATCGTTGTTTGGCCATGGCGGCGTGCACTACTGAGCCAGACTAGGGCATCCCCTCTTCTTTTTTCAGCTCCTCCTTTGGTCCTCCGGCGGATGAAGAGAAGCGCAAGAAGCGTTGCAGAAGCCGCCGATCCTCCAGGTTACTGCTGCCTCTTCCTCGTTCTCCCACGCGGCGAGAGCCGAAACGGCGAATAAGTAGACTGGCCGTTCCCGACAGGCTTGCCTGAGCGCAGACTGCACGGGGGCCCCCTTGCCGATCGCTGGAGGCGTGGGCCGCCGCGGCAGCGATGGGCCACCTCGGTGTATGAGCTTCTATAATCTATACCTATGGAGCGTATCCCATCTTCCTCCTCCTCCTCCTCCTCATGCTGGCCGGCATCGACCTATACTTCGCCTCGGTCGAACTGCACCGGCTCACGGAGCCTGGTTTTCTGGATTTCTTCCAAATGATGAACTCTGTATTTACCCGAGAGTTTTTAGAAATGGACGGGGAGCTCGTGCTCCCATGTTTGGAAGAGGCGTGACGCTGATTGTGGAGGCGTTGGGGAAAAGAGCGGGAGAGGGAGGGGAGGAGCGACAAACGAAGAGAAATGAGGGGGAGTTGATTAGAAATGAGAGAAGCAACATGAGACGGATGTAGAATACGAGTGTCATGCGCCATGTTGCATCGGTCCTTAGCTCCCTTCCTGTGCCATCCTGTGCGCCCCTTGGCGGATTACTTTCTTTACCTGTGACGTGTACCGGAGCCAGGAGAGGCTGCGTCAAGGCCGATGCCTGGCCACCCGTTTGTAACACAAATGCTTTCCTCTGTCATCCGAGGAATGCAATGTGCCATTCTCTCCGCACTGGCTGCGGGGCACACAGTGATGCACAGACCTTCGGAGCCCAATCAATCTCGACTGGCCCTCGCATTCGCATCACGCTTGCTTCGCAGAAACAGGGGCCGCCCAGACGCCCGACGTGGTGACTCTGGTGCACAAGGCGGGGACCGGGCCCGGGGCCGCCCGAAACATGTCGTCAAGAGAATCCGGGACGCCTCTGCGGGAGGAGGAGGAAGAGCAGGAGGAGGAGGAGGAGGATGCGGAGGAGGAGGAGGAGGAGGAGAAGGAGGAGAGGAGCAGGGGGAGGAGGAGGAGGAGGAGGAAATGGAGGAGGAGGAAGACCAGGAGGAGCAGGAGTGCATCCCGTGCGTGCCCGCTCGAGGAAAGTGCGCCCCGGCGGGCGTCGTATCTGCCCCGACCCCCCCCTCCCCCCCCCCTGCGGGGAAGGGATCAAAGGGAAGGGGCTTCCCTTCGACTCCACTACGACGTCGTTTAATTTCGCTTTGGATAGCGCGCTTGAGGAGGAGAGCCCTGGGAGGGGGAGAACGGAGACGACGGAGACGACGAGTCGAACGAAGAAGAAGCCCCTCACACACGCCGACAGGGTCGGCGGATTTTCAGTTTGCAGCTCGCCCAGGCGAGCTTGCGCTTGAACCGCGTCCTCCCTTCCGCGCTTCTGCTTCAGAGTCGGGCGCTCTTCTGTCCACGCGTCCTTCCAGATGCTTGGCTCTGTGGTGGTGGTGGTGACGGTGGGGTGGCCGTTCCCGACAGGCCTGCCTGAGCGCAGACCGCACGGGGACCTGCTTGCCAATTGCCACACAATCGCTAATTCTGTGGAAAAGCGCTCTCGCGACACAGTCTGGAGCACACACACATGGTTCCCCTATATTCGTTGTTAGGATCCCCAAATGAATTGCAGCAGGCCCCAGGGGAGCTACATAATCGCCCATGCATTCCTCATTGGCGATTTGCGATGCGAGTTCCTTAGGTAGGGCTGGAGCCTCAGTGCGCTCTTGGTTCAAGTACCTAAATGTGTATATACATTGGTATTTGCATGCGCGTACACACATACACATATGTTTGTATATATGTACATCGATCCGACACCTGCCGCCCAGAGAACTGGCGAACAATGTGTACACAATACGTTGTCTGGTAGCGTGTCTTCTGTTCGAGACCCCATGGGACAGGGTTCCCACTTTGGGATCGAAGGACAACGATCGGCATCATTTCTCGGAGCTCCGCGCGGATTTCTTAGGTCGGCGCTGGGCCTTGGAGCCGTCTGGGGGTCTGAGGTGGCAGGTGTGAGCAGGTGCGAGCAGGTGGTCAGAAGGAAGGGCGGGCATGCGCGAGATTCTGGGTTCGGGAAGGCTTCTTGCCTTTGTCGGCCTCTTGGGGGGCGCTTTTTGGCCCGTGAATTGTGAACTCCTGACCCTGGGCGAAAAACTACCGGGGATCCAATAAACATAGACGCTACATACAATTGGCAGATGGAGCCCGTGCAAAACATTGCATAAACATCCTAATGCATTTCTTCTGGAGGGGAACAACACACAGACACAATTAATCGTCGATTCCCAGCAAAATATGCGAACATATGGGAAGTGGGTGGGGAAGACAAAAGCGCAGAAAATATGGGAAAATATAGGGAGTCCTGTCATTTGTGTGTATGTATTTGTGTGTCCCAGGGTCCCTTCATTTCTGCGAGCCCCTGGCCCCGAAAGAAGGCCCCTGTACTCTCGAGGTCGCCCCCCCTCGCGACGTCTTCCTGCGCGCGCCGCCAGCATCCTGCACGGCTCGAGAGTGTGTCCAGGCTCCGGCAGTCCAGGGCTGGACCTAAACGGTGTTTTTGCTGATTTCGTGGGCCGTTTGCGTTTCGACGTCGTTTTGCGGCAACGGCGGATTCGAGACAAAAGCGAGGGAAAACGAAAGCAACACGAAAACGAAAAACACCGTTTAGGTTCAGCCCTGCGGCAATCCCTGCGACCTTTCGCAGGAGTGACCGTTAATCCGAAAAAGCAAGACTCAACATAGACATTATTTCTTTGAGCTCCACGCGGAATTCTTGGATCGACGCTAGGCCAGCCAATTTGTGCCCGACATGAATTTCATTCGCGAGGGCGGGCAGACGCCACTCCTGTATATGAATGCTGCTGAATCCCATGCCATTTGATCGGGATGCTCGCAGCCTTCTTCCAGGCCGTGGTGTCCCGCCGGCGGTCCCCTTTTGCGTCTCACACCTGCGATGGAGGACGGAGCTGGGCAGACCTCGCGGGCACCCGTAGTCATACACAAACGGAAGAACAAGTGGCGCCTCCAGCGCGGCCCGCTCCTGGCGCGTTCCGCGCGCCAGGGAGGAGGGGGGGGGGGTCCAGCGCCGATTCAAGAAATCCGCACGGATCTCACCTGAGTTCTGTTTGTGTTGATTTATGTTCCTCTATGGGAGGCACGGTCAGTCGCGGCGATCGCCATTGGATGGGGTCACGCCGAGAGCGTTTGGTCACCCAATTGGGGCCTGGAGGAAGGCAGGGCCTTGTACGATTCGGTCGATCTCATTCGATGGCGGGTTCACCCAGCTCCATCCGATTCGATCTAGATATCAAGACACCCCGACTCGGCCCGATGCTTGCACGGCGCCGTTGTGCTTCCTGGCGCGGCCGATCCGATTCGACTTCGATTCTGTGCAGAGGCAGGTCGATCTGGCGCACGTTCCGATGTGCTCCGATTTCTCGGTTCGACGCTGCCCGATCCTGGGAAGGCAGCTGGACACGGGAGGAGACCGATCGCTCGATACCCTGAGGTGAAGCTGTTCCAGACGTTCCACACCCAGGAGGGCGGCACGAAACGGCCTGGGCCCCCCCCCGGGGACGGAGCCAGACACCAACGTCGGAATGTAGCATTCCGACGTTTCGTGAGGTGGCGGGGCATGGCGGGTGAGGTCCGAAATTCTGAGGCCGAGTGTCAGACCCAGTGGCTGATCTGATGTTTTCGTTGCCGTCAACGCTGAACATTGCAGCGTCAGAAGCTGCAATCAATTTCGCCAACGCGGGCAAGCAGGCGGCACGCCTGCATCTGAATACCTTCAGGGAAGAATGTAAGGTATGCTTTTCCTCGAGTCGTGCTTGATCTTAGGGGTTCTTGCTTGAGTTACATCAGGCATTGGACGGGATGTCCTTGCCTGGTTTTTGGTTGGTGTTCCGTCGTGGGCGCCTCGTGGGCGTCCCGCGTGCTGGGTGCATCTGCCAAGGGTTCGCCTGGTGCCGGGCTGGCGGCCGGTCTTGGGCGCCGCGCTGGCGCCCCGTGCGTTGGGTGGGTCCGCGAGGCTTTTGCCCGCTGCCCGCTGGGTGCCCGGTCGTGGGCACCCTGTGCGGTCGATGGCGGGGGTTCGGCTGCAGGCCTGGCTGGCGGAGAAAGAGGAGGAGGAGGAGGAGGAGGAGGAGGAGGAGGAGGAGGAGGAGGAGGAGGAGGAGGAGGAGGAGGAGGAAGAGGAGGAGGAGGGAGAGGAGGAGGAGGAGGTGGAGGAAGAGGAGGAGGAGGCGGAGGAGGAGGAGGAGGAGGAGGATGGCCGTGAGCGCCTCGTGGGCGGCCCGCCAGCGTCGGGTGGGCCCGCCAGGCCGCGCCCCTTGGGCGCGCTGCGTGGGTCTGCCGGGGGTTGCGCGCGGCGGTCGCCCGTGGGCGCTCGCGCGGGGTTTTCGCTCGGGTGCTCCGACGGGCGGGCCCCGCGCGGTGAGCTGCTCAGCTTTGGCTTTTGGGAGCTCCTCCTGCCTCCCTCCTGCACCCCCTCTCCTGCCTCCTGCTCCTGCTCCTCTTCCTCCTCCTCCTCCTGCGCCTCCTGCTCCTCGTCGTCCGCTTCCTCCTCGTCTTTTTTTCTCCTCCGAATCTGAAGCGGATGCTGACTAATCATTAACTACATGTCCGCGTAAGGAAAAGTTCAAAACATTTAGGGTTTTGGAAAGAAGCAAACAAGCGTTCTGAAATACTATATGCGTCATCTACAAAAGACACGCATTCACAAACACAACGTGTGATGATCTGCTCCTTAACACGAACTCCGTAACTACAAAATTTGATTGAAGTTATAAAGAAAAAACGCGACCAAACAATATTGAAGCCATGGGCGCTGTTAACATTAACGAAATCAACGCTGATACTCACCTCGAACATTGACGCACACACAAGTTCAAGCGTCGAACGTATTTGCACAGCCGAATTACTAATTAAGCAGCATGCCTTGCATAAACTAATCTTTAACAAAACATCATAAACACACATATTGATTATGCAACTCGAGAAGAACATTTTCCCGTAATGTATTTGAGACTACCGACTTGCTCTTAGATGCAATCAAATTCATGTTGTTTGCTTCTTGCTCTATACTGATCTTTTGTGCGTTCTATCAATACCACCCTGGAACGGCACAGAGTTACTGCTACCATCGAAATAACATTTCGTTCGCTAATTTTGTAGCCTGGTGTAACTCACCGGAACTACGACATGTTGTTGCGCGCGATGTGCTACACGTTATTCGAACTGTACACAAACCATTTCGATTATTGCAGAATTGTATGCACGGTATTTCGATGATCGATGTCTTGTATGTTCCACGCGAATTATTATTAATACTTCTGCTACCATAAACATATTATTCGAATTGCTGATTGGCAAAAACTGCCCCGAAGGCAAGATCCGGTTCTGGAGTCCACCAGAATAGGAAATCGCTGGGCCTTGTGCTCCTGGCTCCCTCGCCCTTCGGCGGTGGTGGAAGCGGCGGAAACGACGCCGGCGACAACGAGAACAACGACTACAACCACAACGAACACAAGGACGATAACGGCGCACTCGGTCCAGCCTCGGCCCGCAAGTCCAAAAGAAAACAACGAATGCCCATCGAGGTCGACCAGCTCTCGGCACTTACCTGGCTCTGAGTTTTTTTTAGGCTCTCAGCGCTTCTCTGTTCTTAGCGATTCCTGGGGCTCTGAACCCCAGAGCCCCCCCAACACTTTACCGCTCTCGGCCTGTCTCGGCTCTCTGCACTTTTGGGTTTTGCCTTCGACCAACGCCTCCAGCCAGGCCTCACGGCCTAGCCCCGGGAAGCTGAGAACCAGAGAAACCGGGGGTTGTTCCCCGTGCCCGCATGTGCCCGCACCCGTGCCCGCCCGTTTCCGTGCCCGTCTCCGTGCCGAGATTTCCGGATTCGGAATTTAGGGTTCGAGACGGTACGGATTCGGATTAAAGGAAAACCGGCACCGTTGCTCAAATTCTTGTTTGCAGCGCTTCTGTGCAATAAATGCTGTCTCTAGCGGTGTAGTGCTCAAGTTGTCGTTTCCAATGTTCCTTGCTTCAAATACTCTCGTTGCGCTGCGGTGCTTACATTGTTTTCTGCAATCGTTGGTGCTCAAACTGCGGCTTGCAACGCTACGATACTCTAGCTGCTCTTTTGAATGCTGCGGCAATGCTCAAATTGTAATCTGCAGCGCTGCAATATTTAAATGTTATTTCCCATGTTTCTGTGTTCGACTTGCTGCCTACGCTACGGTGCTCAAGTAACTGTTTGCAATATGCTCAACTCCGCCCCTGCAATGCTGCAGCGCTTAATGAGTAGCGCTACGGTGCTCGAGTTGTCGTGCGTGCTGAAGTTTCATCTGATTCCATGCAAAAGCTGCAGCCCTGATTTGTTCAACAGCGTTTGTCTGCTTAAGTTGCTGTTTGCAGCGCTGTGGTCCTGATCTTGCTGTTTTCGATGTTTATGTGCGCGAATTGCTGGTTACGGTAATCAAATTGCTCCTGGCATTTCTTTACTCTGTTTGCAACGCTGCGGTGCTGTGAGTGTTGTTCGTAGCGCTTCATGATGAACTTGCTGTCTGTAACGCTGCAATGCTCGCATTGCTGTTTGCAACGTTGCGGTGCTCAAATTTCGCGACGCTCAAATTGCTGTTTGCGGCGCTTCCGTGCTGAAATCGTTCGGCGTCTCCTGGCTCAAATTGCCTGGGGTGCTCCAATGCTCGCATGGTTGTTGCGGGGCTTGCGTGCTCAAATTGCTGTTTGCTGCCGCTGTTATGATCAAACTGTTTGTTTGCAGAGCTTCCGTCTTCAACTTATTGTCTACAATATTGGAATGCTCAAAGTGTTTTTTTGCAAGGTTTCTGTGCTCCAATTGCTGTTTGCGCCGTATTGCTTACATTTCGGTTTAGCACCTCCTCCTTCTCCCTCTACACCCAAGCCGCGGGGGGATCAGGCGCAGGGCCTCTCGCGCCGCCCTCGCCCTCGCGCTGCAGGCGAAGCGCAGCCATGCTGCTGCGCGAGCCTGCCGCTGGAGCAGTACTTGCTCGTGCTGAAAGCGAGGTAGCCCTGCTGGGTGTTGCGCAACTTCTTGCCGAAAGATGAAGGTCCAGACGGCGGTGCATCGGCGTCTCCTCTGCGAAGATTTCGGCGAGGTGGCGGCTGGCAACCTGAAAGAGCTGAACAGTGAGAGCAGCGGTATCAACGTGGAGGCGGTAGTCCTCGACGGTCCCACCGCGAACGCTGGGGGCGCGATGGCGCCCGTGCCCATGGTGCCGCCCGAGGCCAAAGCGAACGCGAATAACGATGGGAGTTTTTGTCATCGGGGACTGCAAGACCGCCCCGGGGAGTCCGGGGTCCGCGGAGGAGCTCCACAGCAAGAACCACGATGGCAAGCGGGCGCCCATCGGTCCCAGCACGACGCCGCCGCTGGAGGAGCTCATCTTGCGAGCGCCCCAGCTTGAGAAGCTCGCGGGCAACTGCGATAAGGCCAAAGACACGGTGCACAAGGACGGCCTCGCGCAGATCCATGACGAAGCGAAGATGTTCACGGCCGCCGCCAAGACAGACTTCGACCAGGTCTACCGCGGGCTGGCGGAGCAGATGGCCGTGCACAAGGCCGGCCTTGACCGTATCAACCGCGCCAACATGGAGCAGCTTCTCGAGCAGGTCCGCGCCGACCTGAGGTTGCAGGCGACGGGCTCGGCCCGCAGCGGGGCGAAGGGGCGGGCGGCCGCGCGCAAGCAGATCTCGACGAGATCAACGGCTCCATCCTCGGGCAGCTTCTCGAGAAGGTCCAAATCGAACTGAAGTTGTAGACGGCCGCCATCAAGACATACCTCGACTCGGTCCACGGCGAGTTCAAGGAGCAGATGGCCAGAAATAACAGATCTTGACAATGTCCACAGCTTCACGAATGCGCAGCTGAGCGGCAAGGCGCCCATCGAAGATCTCGGCTCATCTGCGAAGAGATTACGATGCAGAAGGCCGCCGCCATGACAGACCTTGACCAGGGCATCTTCCATTTGACAGAGCAGAAGGCCGAGCTCACATCATATCTTAACAAGATCAACTGCCGGATGAAGGAGTTCGAAGTGAAGTTCGGCACCGGACTCAAGAGCTCCATGCTGGAAACAACCCACCCGCTGGTCATGTCCTGCCCCCGAGGCATGGGCGCCGAGGCTTGATGGGGGCCTGGGTCGGGCCTGCGCGCGCCGCGTGAGCGCGGTTCCCCTTCGGCCTGGCGGGTTTGGAGGGCGGCGGCGGCTTCGGGCGCGTCGCCACGCCGCCCCCGCTTGTCGGGCGAACCGCGGGGGCTGGCTCGGCCCCCCCCTCCCCCGCCGCGCCGCGCGCGCCCCGCGGGGGGCTGCCGCGCGTCGGGGCGCCTTCGGGCGCGTCTCGACAGCTGCTCCTGCATCGGCAGATGAACTACAGCAGCGCGCCCTCCTGGGTCGGCAGGTGAACCGCAGGGGTGCGTTAAAAACGCGCCCGCATTTTTCCTGATTTCTCTGGGGGCGCTTTCTCGCGGGCCATAGCAGAATCCGCAGGGGTACCCCCCCCGACCGCTTGAGAGGGGATGCGCTGCTTGACGAGCTGGTGCCTCTTGCTGGCTTAACCAGCGCAGCGGGCTGCGGTGGTTCCTTGGCTTCGCGTGATGGCGTGGAGGGCTAGGCTCTGGGGCGCCCCCCCCTTTGGGGTCGGGTTCCCCGGGGCTTTCCCTTGTCGTTGCTGGCCCTAGCCTCTGCGATGAAACGCGTCAAATCAAATCCTTTTCCCTCTGTGTCCCGCCTGTTCTGCTCGTGCGCCAGGCCGCGGCGCGCGCGGCGATTTTCCTCTGCGTTTTTTTTGTTTTTTTCTGCCGCGGTCGGCGCGCGCGTTATCCGACGACCGAGTTCCGAAGCCGCCAGGGAGACCTCGCGGGCCAGGCCGTCGGGGAAACGCCGCGGCCTCGAGCTGGGCGCCGCCGCGCCAGGGCGGGAGGCAGTGCGAAGCCTAGCTCTGCCGCGAGCTGCTCCGCCTCAGCCCTGGAGCTCGCAGCCCGCTTGTCGGGCCCCCGTGCGCCTTCCGCGGGGGCGCCGGCGGCCCGCGCCGCACAGATTTTCCGCGCGCGCGTGGGGCAGGAGAAAATGATGCAGAGGTTCCGACATGCCCGCGCGGCCGGCGCCCTCGTCTTTGGCGCAGTCGATGGTGGCGCCTCTGCGCTGCGTTTGGCCTTGCAGCGGCGCGGGGAAGGGGCTCTCTCTCGAGACCTTTTCGCGCATCTGTCGCAGACGAGGCCCCCGTTGGAGACGTCCTCCAGATTCGGGCCTGAGGGGCCCGAAGGTGGCGACCGCTGCAAGTTTGGGATGGCCCGCATAAATTCGCGCGCGGAGGCGGGGTCGCCACGTGGATGGGGCTTCCGTCGGAGATCCCCTTGTGATTCGCTCGCGCAGAACGCCCCCGCTCGACAACTCCTCCGCGTTATTGCTCGAGGGGCCCAAGGGGTGATTTGGTCAGATTCGAATTGGGAGGTGGGGGGCCCGAGGTTTCCCGTTCGCGTGTGCCGAGGGATGCGCTCCCCTGGAGATATCCTCCGGATCCTGGCTCGAAGCTCCGGTTAAGGCCCGCTTGAATTCAAACGTGGAGGTGGGGGCCCCATGGGGGGGGGGGGGCTCGCGCCCGAGAACCTTGCGACGCGCTCGCGCAGACGCCCCCATTCGACACGTTCTCCGGATTCAAGCCTGGGAGGCCCAAAAGTGATGTCAGTTGCAGGTCCGGGGCGACACGTTCGGATCCGGATTTGGAGGTGGAGACCTCATATGGAGGGGCTCGCGTTCAACACTTCTTCGCGGGTCATTCACACACGGCGCCCCCGCCTGACATTCCTTCCAGCCTAAGGCCTGGGGGGCCTGACGATAGTTATGGTTCGGGATGAGCCGTTCGGACTCGTACATAAATGTGGGGGCATCATCGGTGGGGGTCCTGTTCGAAACGCCCCGGCGTTTTGATCACAGACGAGACTCCCGATCGAGTGGTCTTCCATATGGTAATGTGAGCGTGTGACTGCAAGTGCGAGTGTGATGCTGATGAGTGGTGACCATGCTGGGGTGATGATAGCGGTGATCGTACGTCGGCGACGATGAGTGATTATGATGGTGGTCGTGGTCGTTGATGCAATGGGGGACGGGTGAGGCGGGGTTCCTGCGATGGTTTTCCAGAAAACAACCCCCATGAACGGCGCGGCGAACAATGCGATCATTCCCCCTCCCGAACCTGCACTGTTTCGTGGCCGCTGGGACATTGCAGTGTACATGCGATTCAGCTTGACCATTAATTTTCCATACGGCTTTTACAATATATTCCTAGTCGGTTTCGCCTTGTTTGCGCCCCTTGAAATAATCCACCCAGCGCGCTCGTTTACCAATATATATATATATATATATATATGTGTATATATACATATATATATATACATGTATATATCCATATATCGGTCTATCTATCTCTATACATAATCAGGTATATATATATACACATATATATATATATATACATATATATATATATGAAATATGATTATGGTGCCTGGGGGAAAACACACACAATGTCCACACTCGCGAGCGCACGCGTCGAAATCATACCAAACACATTACCGTTGCAATCGTGCCAATACAACAACAGAGCAACCAAACCGCTGGGTCATTCCACCACCATCAGTCAATCAATCGCGTAAACCACCCGCATACATCATCACCGTCATCGTCGTCACACCATCGGCAACGACATTGACGTTACAGTCGTCATCGTCACCATCGCCACCGCCATCGCTACTATCATCATCGTTGCCGCCGTTGACGTCGCCGTCATGATACCACGCCCGCCCGAACCACCGACCTGCGCTGAATTGCCCGCGCGCCAGAACAGCCTTTGAGACGCGATGCGGAGGTCCCACCCGCAAGCGCCATCGCAGCCGTACCAGCTGTGCCAATTTAGGCCTCCTGGATGGGATCGGAGTGGATGGGGTCGGATGATCGCGCCACATCGCCGATGCATCGGTGATGCATCGGCGATGCATCGGCGATGCGGCTCAATGTGGGCCCAAATTTCTCCACGCCGACGTCGCCGATGCTTCGCTGACGTGGTCCGTGCCTGGCCGATGCATCGCCGATGCATCGGCCATGCTTCGCCGATGTATCGCGATGCGGTGAGATCCGTTGGTCCCATCTTTTCGGACCCCACCCAAGGGGGCCTCCAGCCAAAACAGCTGGTTCCTATGCGCGTTCGATCCAGCGCGGCCGCAACGACGCCAACCAGCCAGTGCCAAGCAGTGATCATATCTGTGACCGCATGGATTTTGCAAATCAGATTGTTGGTGGATGGGTGGGGTTTTTGCGCACGCTGTGGAGTTGACGACTCGAGGTTCTTCATCACGATGGCATCACGCAGTTTGCAACAGTTATCTTGAACCACGCAGCCTGCGGTACATAGATTGCACCACACAGTTTGCCCCGCATACTTTGGCTCACGTAGCCTGAGCCAAGTAATTTGCACCGAGTGAGCCAGACATTTTGCACCACGTAGTTCCTCCGCCGTACAAAGAATTCGGCGACCCCCTCCCGCGCTCCGAAGCCGAGGCTATTAGCACCCCTCCCGCGAATTGTTTTCGTTTTCGTTTTGCATGATCATTCATCGTGTATCTCGTAGCCAGTTCCAATCCTGCCCCCCGGTCACCCGTGTCGAAGAATAGCATGCGGTGCATTTGTTGGTCGAGGACATAGTTTCTGTAATGTGTTCCTGCCGCGTGTACAAAGCGAGTCACGAGCGCGCGCATGTTAATCTCCGTCCAAAAACTATGTGTTTCGTTATTTTCCCCAACGCATCTAATCCGCAAGTATCTCTTTTCGTTTCATGTTCAAGTCGGAGTGTCACATTGTCGCGCGTGCCCCGAGAGGACCACGATAACATACGTAGTTGCTTAGCCACCCTGCCTACTGGGCACGCGGCCACATTCGGGCATGCCGAACACATTCAGCAATCATCGTTCTCCCGCCCATGCTGTCAATCAGTACCATTCGGGCCATAGCGCGTGTCTGCGCGCCCACACTTCGCTGCTTGCCTAAACCACAAGTGCCATAAGCATGTCAACGCAGAATTGTTGAAGCACTAATGAGGTCAGATTGGCTGTTCATTAAGTTGATGCCCGGCGCTCTGTTTATCTGTGCGCGCATTTCTTCATGATCCACAATCGTTGAAATCATTGCCAGCATCAGCATCACCGTCGCCATCGTTCTCATCACCACCGCGATCATCATCGTCATCGTCGATGTTGTCGCCCGCGCGAAATTTCAGCGCGTGCACTTCTTCATCATCCGTACCAGCACCATCGTCATCACCACCGCCAGAGGCACTGCCACCGTCATTGTCATCACCATCAGCGTCATCAGCTTGCTGGATCAATTCATCACAGCCGATGCCATGAACATCGTCATCGTCACCCTTCTTGTCGACGCAAGTTGAGTTTTGCCAACCAGCTGTGGGTAGGTGGGCGGGATGTTTGCACGAACATTGGAGGGTATCACGCGCGGGTGTGGTCACACGCAATTGCACCACATGGTTGCACCAAGCAGACTCTAGGGTCTACCCACCCCCTTTGAGATTAACGGACCCTTTTCCCCGTATTGCAATTTACATACGATTCTGCCCCATCGTCCATCCTAATTTGGGTTCGTATCATCCCAGCTAAACCGGTATACCACCCCCCTCAGCCTGCAGCAAGTACTATGCGCGCACCCGTTTATCAAAGTTCATCAGTTTTCAAAGACTCTGTGCAACGCATGGGAAGAAGTGCGAACGCGCGCAACGTCGCGCGCGCATGCCGGAATCTTTCAAGGTGTCAAGGATGTCAGAACCGAGTGTTCGGAAAACATTTAAACAACAGTAGTTTGTAACAAGAGGTTCCACAGAAAAGCGTGCCCGCGCTCCTGCATAGCCTTACGAAAGCCACAGGTGTTCCATGCTACTATTACAGCCTCCCGCGCTCGTGCCGAAATCTCTCGACCGCCCTTGCGCGGGTGTTGTCGCAATAATGTCTTGCAACAAGTGGACGAAGTACAATCGCGCGTGTCGTCGCGCGCGCATGTCGAGATCTTCCCAAACAAAAGAAACGTCCGTAACTACTGCAATCGAGTGTTCCGACCACATGTAAAACACACATAGTTTTGCAACATCAGTTGTCAAACGATGCGCTCGCGCTCTTGCGACTCCCCTGGAAAACCATAATTCTCAGCATGTTCATCAGCTTCTGCCAGGCGAGCCTCCCGCGCCGCATGCCGAAATCATTCGAACACCCTTGCGCGCTTGCTGGGGGCACGATCCGTGTCACATAATACAGTGCGGGCCACTCTCTCGCGTCGACCGCACGCGCATGTCGAACTCCTTCCAAAAGCTTCATCACCGACGCGAGGATGCCATCATCGCCGTCGGCGTGAACAGCATCGGTGCCGTCACTGGCCTTACCGTCGTCCTTGTCACCATCGTCACCAGCTTTGCTACGACCATCATCGTGTTTACCGTTTACGCTGCCATGACACAGTGCCTGCCCATGACGCCGACTCAGGCTGAAGTGCCCGCTGGGAAGTGCCCAGCGGTCAGCGCCACGGCGGCCGCGTCGGTCGCGCCAAACTAGCTGGCCGCTGCGCGCGCGAGCATGCGCGAGCTAGCGCGGCCGCAGAGCTGCACCAGCCAACACCTAGCACTCATCGCAATCGCCGCCGCATGGGCTTTGCAAACCAAGATGCGGGTGGGTGAGTCGGAAGATTGCGTGAGCAGAGGAGTTGACTTTTTGCAAGTTCGGCAGCGTGGGGTCCACGACATCATATCGCGCATTCATAGCGTAACTAACGGAGCTATTGGATCCCGCATTGACGTTTTATTTTTGTTGGTGTTCTTCTTTGGTGACCGTTTGTGGTCGCAGGCGATTGTTTTCCCCTGATCCTTGGTTTCTGCCCGCAAAGTTATACCGTTCAGAAAAGGGGGGGGACTGGGATACACCCCGTAGGGGCTGTTCGGACGCACCCCTATCGAGGACGGACGGCCTCCATTGTAAATTCCCGAGTTGGAACTCATAATTTGCGCCAAAGCAAAGACCCCTACGAAACCTGGAAGTGGGGTCGTCGTTCTCCCCGTTGTTACTTTCTGGGGGCCGCCCGCGGTGACATGTTGGCAGAACGTGCCGGCGATGGCGCTTCCTCCGCGAAGCCGCGACGGGAGCGGGAGCAACGGATCCCGTTCCTCACAGCCCCAGCCCTCGGGGTCACGAGTGGGAGCAACGGACTTCGGGGTCAGATCCGACGACGATTCTCGCAGGTGGCCTTTGACCCCCAATGTCGGAGTTCCTCCCGAAATATTTAGCCGTTCAGAAGACGGATAACTCAAGCATGTTTTTTATGGGGATAGTCGGGCGCGCCGCTAACCAGGATGGACGTCCCCCCGTCGCATATCCCCGATTGCGGCTCGAATTGTATAACCATTCGAAACCCCGCGAGGTCGGAGTTTGGGGTCGACAGATCCCCTGATTGTGGGTGGAAGCGAGCGGGCTTCGAGGTCGGATCCGACAACGATGCATCGGCGATGGCGCATTCGATCAGGAGAGTTGTGTGGTCCTTCGTGGAAGCCTCAGAGGGTCCACCAATTCCTTGCGGTGTCTGGCCGGCAACTGGCGAAACCACGTCTATCTGCTGGTATTTGCTGTACCGTTTGGTCGCCCGCTGCGCCCGCAGCCAGGGGGCGACGGAGGCGCGGGCGCTGCTGGCGCAGGCGCACGACGGCGCAGTCGGCGAGCTGGTCGCCTCCTTGCGCCGGCCTGCTGGGTGTCGGCCGAACGTTCGGGGGGGCAGCCCGGAGGTTCGGCGGCGGAATCCGAAGCCTACCCTCGCCGATTAACGGTTCAGGCAATCCGATGGGCGGCGGGGGGAGGTTTCGGAATCCGTCGAACACGTGGCGAAATTCGAATTCCACACCCGCCTCCCACTGATTCAGGAGAACCGATGGTTGGTCGAGGTATAGAGGGCTCGGATGTCGCCACCTGTAGGTGGTCTGATCTGAGGGCCAGTTGTCGGGTGGTCGTGCTTCAGATGCGGGATTGGGCCTCGACCTCCCCGGAGATCCGAGGCTCCAAAAAATTGGAGCCCTTGGTTTTGTGTTATTCTCGGCCTCCAGTGGCCCTCAGCGTGCCCGGGGTCATAAACTGCTCAGGATAAGACGCCGGCCCTGGGGAAGTGGGTCCACGCTTCGAAAAAGTTGGAGTGCCAGGTGTATGGGTCGGGGCTCACGCATCGTGGGCCAGTACTAACGGAGGGCAGCCAGTCACCAGTGGCTGACCTGGTTCTGGGAGCCACGCGGGCTCGATTCGCTCTTTTCCGCACTTCGCTGGCCCAGACGCGGCAGCTACTAAGTCACGGGCTGGGCTTTACGAAGCCACCGGCGGGGCTTTGCTTTGTGGCAGGGCTCTGGCCGACCGGGTTTGCGCTGGCCTGGGTTCGTGCGCCCCCAGCAATCGTGGGGTGCTCGTACTTTGGCTGAGGACGGCAGGACGGCAGAGGAGGTGCCGACGCCGTTGCCCTTCACTCGTTTTTGCCTCGTTGGGCATCCTGGGAGGCTGGATGCGCTTCGAAATTTCAGTCAGAACGCACCCAGGGAGGGGTTTTGGGACTGTATCGGGGGAGGGCATCCCCCCGTAAGCATCAGGAGGAGGGTCGGAAAATGAGGAGGACGGGAGGAGGCGGGATGGAGGAAGAGGAGGATGGGGGGATATGGAGGAGAGAAATAGAGATGGATATCCGGGCCCATCCATTCCCTGCTCTTTCCAGGAGTGTGTATGGAGGACTTGGTGAGGGCGCATGCGCCAGGAAGAGAGGAAGAGAGGAGGAGGAGGAAGAGGAGGAGGAGGAAGACGAAGAGGAGGAGGAGGAGGAGGAGGAGGGAAGAGGGAGGAGGAGGAGGAGGAGGAGGAGGAGGAGGAGGAGGAGGAGGAGGAGGAGGAGGAGATGAGAAGCAGTGGCGAAGGAGGGGAGGAGGAGGGGAGGAGGGGTCGGAGAGAAGGAGTAGAAGGAGGAGTACAGGAAGAGCAGGAGAGGGAAAAGGAAGAGACGAGCAAGAGGAGGAGGACGACGAGGAGGCGGAGGATGAGAAATACCGGAGCAAATCCAATGCACGTCGACGATCTGGCAGTTCACCCTCCCGTCCCAAGTCTCCTCCTGACACGTCCCTGTAAGCCCTCCGTCTCACTACAGTCGGGGCCCTGAAGAAGGAACCCTTTTCGTTGTGGAGGGGCTCCGCGTTCCGTAAGTGTTTCGCAGTTTGCCTCAGGTTGTCCTTATGTTTTCGATCGGAAATCGAAGTTTAACTCATGGAAAAAAAGGGGCCTCGTTCCTAATTTTGGGCTCCTTAGGTCAAGCCCCCGACGGTACAGGAAGCGCCCCCGTGAACAGACGAGCGCCCCGTGGGTCTGCCAAGCATGCAGAGCTTCGCTCTCACGAAGTATTGCCCTGCATACGTATGGCCTTGAGTCGGGCCTGTCCCTCTATCGGGGGTGGACAGACCTCCTACCCTGACACGTCGATTGAGGAATTGGCCGTTTTCGGTTCGCCGGAGGGCGTCGCGGCCGTTCTGTTTGCGGGTCCAGGTCCGTCGGTTTCGGTCCCAGGCCGTTTCCACCAAGGGGAGGTCTATTGAAGGGAGGTTTGTCCACCGCCGACTCTACAGGGGGGAATCTTCAAAAATGATTGGAACAAATTGTCTGGGGGGCAATTTCTTGAGTATTGAAAGAATATGTCTGGAGTATGTTGCGGGTATTTTTTTAAATCTGTCGTCCCAAATCCCCCTGTAGGGGGACAGGCCCGACCTGTGTCCAGCGAGTGTCGCGGAACAGGTATTATCATGCAGCTCAGCGAAGTGTCCAAACGGAGCCCCTGCTTGAAAAGAAGCCGCACCCCCATCCGTGTACCAGTTGCGAAGCCTACATGCCAGTTCATGGAATTCGAGGAATCATCAGGCGATAGCCCCGTTTGAATAGGAGGCCCTCCATCCGAGCAGGTGCTATTGAGATTGAATCGTCTCGCCGTTATCTCCAGCGCTGAAGCGAGAGCCCCAATTTGAGAAGGTATTGCCCTCCATCTGTGTAGATGTTGCAATCTTTCTCGACGAATGTGCGCGGCGCTAAGGCGAGAATTCCATTTGAAGACGGTACCGCCCACCCCATTGTATGATGCGCCTGTCGGATGCGCCTGTCGCCAGTGCGACCCCCCGATGTTGGACTGGAGCCGCTTTCGCTCCTTGTGCCTGTCGCATGCTGTCGAGGATAATGCGCGCGGCGCGGAGGCGAGAGACTCATTTTGAAAAGGCGCGGCCTTTCATATTTGCAGATGTTGGCATGATCAAGCTTCTTCAGGGCTACAAGTGGCATGACCAAGCTGTTCAAGCTTCAAGGCTTTCAAGCTTCATGGCCACAAACTGCACAGTTGCAGATGCTGGCATGATCAAGCTGCAGGGCCACAGGTGGGCAGGATGTCTTAGGTGAAGCGCCCCGCTCGCCCTACCGCCACGCCATGGTGCTGCGGCAGAGAGGAGCTACCTACACAGGAGGAGGAGGACGACGACGACGACGAGGACGGGGAGGCTGTCGATCCCTAGCGCCGCCCTGCTGCGTCGGCTGCTCATGCCCGCGCAGGAGCTACCAGGAGGAGGAAGACGACGACGGAAACGGCCCGAGGAGACCCAATCTGTGCCAATGATGTTGCATCGCGTCCTTCCATGCCCAGTCCCCTCTGCACCAGTCCCCACAGATGTGCCTTTTCCACTGCAGCATGCACCCCCCTTGACGGCCGAGCGTTCCGTGGGCCTGCCGGTCAGGCGAGACGCTCCGTTTTGTAAATGGCCCATGTTCTGTCCTCCCAGTTGCACGAGTTGATACAGAGGGCTGGAGGAGGAGGGTCAGGAGGAGGGCGGAGGACGAGAGGCGAGGAGGAATACGAAGAGGAAATGGGGATGATGGTGTGGATGGTGATGATGGTGATGGTGATAGTGATGACCATTGCGGTCGTGATGCTGATGATGGTGGTGGTGATGTTGATGTTGATGTTGATGATGGTGGTGGTGATGTTGATTGAGACTGTGAAGAGGTTGTTGATGCGGATCATGCTCATAGTAATGAAGATCTTGATGGCGATGATGTTGATGGTGCTGGCCATGAGGATATTGAGGTTAGTTAGAGATGATGGTGGTTGCGGTGATGAGGATGCGGATGGTGATGATTTTGCGAATGCGGATGTGATGATGATGATGGTGGTGGTGATGATGGTGATGATGATGATGCTGATAGTGGTGATGATGTTGCCGCTGATGATGATGATAATGACGCTTACGAGGTTGATGGTAGAGATTGAGGTCGTGGCGGTGACGAGGATACCGACGAGGATGATATTGCGGATGCGGTTGGCGATCATGATGATGCGGATGTTGTTGTTGCTAATGATGATGCTGGTAACGATAATGTTGCTCATGCTGATTATGTTGTTGAGGTTTATGATGTTGATGATGCGTATGCTGCTGATGCTGATACTCATGAAGATTATGTTGATGAGGATAACGGTGATGATGCTGACGGTGGTGGTGATGATGATGATGGTGATGATGATGATGCTGCTGACGATGGGGCTAAATATGCGGGCGGGGATGCGGATATGAATCAAGATGATGGCGATGCTGGGGGGGAGGTGGTGATGGTGGTGATGAAGATAATGGTGGGCTCACACTGATGACGATGTGGATGATTATGATGATGGCGGTTGTGAGGAGGAGGACTAAGACTAGGACGAGGACGATGACGAGGAGAGGAGGAGGAAGAGGAACAGTAGAGGAAGCAGGAGGAGGAGCAGGAGGAGGAGGAGAAGGAGGAGGAGGAGGAGGAGGAGAAGGAGGAGGATGAGGAGGCGGAGTACGAGGAAGAGTAAAACGAGGAGGAGGAGGACGAGGAGGAGGACGCGGAGGACGCAGAAAAAGAAAAGGAGGAGGACGAGGATGACGAGGACGAGGGCGAGGACGAGGACGATTTGTTCGACGAAAACGAAAATTGCGAGCAGCACGAGGAGGCGGGCGTGGTGTCCGCCTCCCCGCTCGGTCCCGAAGGCTGCGGCAGGCCTTGCGCGCGGCCGCGGCGCGACCCGCGAACGGCCGCTGGTCGGCGCTGCTGCTGGTGCTCGCCGACCTCGTGGACGAGAACGGCTGCACCTCGTGGGCGGACAGCCTCCTCCTCCTCCGAATCTCCTCCACCCCCTCCTCCCCTCCTCTCCCTCCCCTCCTCCCTCCTCCCCTCCCTCCCTCCCTCCCCTCCTGCCTCCCTCCCTTTCCTTCTCCCACCTCGTGGGCGGACGGCCTCCCCTCCTCCGGGCCTCCTCCCTCCCCCTCCCCTCCTCCCTCCGTCCTCCTTCCCTCCCTCCCCTAAGATCGGATCTGACCCTCAGGGCCCATGAAGGCCTCAGCCTCGCCGAGCGCAGGATGTTGACTCAGCGGCCGGAGGAGGCCAGCCGGGCTCCGGGGTGAGTTTGAGTCTACGGGCGACCTCGTGGGCGGATGACCTCCCCTCTGAGCCCCCTCCTCCAAGCGTCCCCCCAAAAGTCCTCGATCCCCAACCTTTAACGACGACCCCACCACGACGACGGCGGCAACGACGGCGGCGACAACGACCACGAGTGTCGGCGACCCTTGACCACAGATGGGGTCCGAGTAACCAGATGGGTCGGAGGATCACGCCGCATCGCCGATGCATCGGCGATGCGGCTCGATGCGGAGACCGACTTTCTCTACGCCGACGGCGGCGATGCGGCACGTTCCTCCCACCCCATCTGCTCGGACCCAATCGTGGAGGCCTCTACCTCCGTCGGGCGGTATTCAGAAGTGGTGTCTTTTTCTGAGCGTCGCGCTAGGAGTGCGCCGTGAGCGAAAGATGAATGCCAGTTCTGTGTTGTGATTTCTTGTCGGTCGGCCTGTGGCTGACTTACTCCGCTTGTTCGGGTCTTCCTTGAAATGCCTTTGCGAGGCAGTTACTTGCTGGGTACACCCGAGGCTTGAATGTAGTGCCTTTCCGCTTTGCCTGGTAGATGTTGTGACGTTGGCGCAGTGTTAGGCAAGGTTGTAGGTAACCATGGCGTAGTCTGAGACAAGGTTTGTCTTTCTTGAGAGGACATCACGACTGGTATTTTTCTTGGCATTCCCAGGATATTCTTCCTTCCCTCCTCCTTCATGCTTTTCTTCCCTCCCCAAGATCTGACTTTGGAGGGCCCATGAGGCCTCAGCCCCGCCAGGCATAGGAGTTTGGCTCAGACGCTCGAGGAGGCCAGTCGGGCCCCAGAGGACGAATATGGTCCTGGAGTTTCTGAGTGTACAGGCGGCTTTGCCCCTCGCGAGCAAGTTTTGGAGTCGCTCGGCCTCGAAGAGGGCGATCTACCCTGGGTGAAGGCTCGGGCAGCCGAGTCGACCAGAGGGCCCAGTCGCCGTGTAGCGACGAGTCAGACTCAGGAGCCACTGAGTTTGACTGAGGTCTTGGACCACCTGGCTTTAGTTCCGTCCCCAAGAACCCACTCTCCCTCCCTCCTCCCCCCTTCACAACAACTCAATATGAATGCTACTTCCCCTTCTCCCCGAAAAAGTCAAGCGGGCATTGCGCCCTGTCCGTGCATCGGGTTTTCCACGTCTGATGCCAAATTTTGAGACGGCTCTCGTATTCCCACCAGCCCATGCAGATACGAGGCCCAAGCGAGTTGAAGTCGACGACAACGAGGAGTCAACCACAAAGGCTTCGCGCGAGGTTTCGCCCAGTGTGCTATTGAGAAACCCGGGTGTGCTCGCCTGAAGACCTCTTGGAGCCATCTAAGATGGCTCCAAGTAATTTCCAACATGGAGCCAATACGATCTTGGCTACATTTTGGGAATTACTCTGAGTCTCTTGGGGTCTACTTGGGGCTATTCGAGGGTGGTTTTGTTGCTCTCTCGGGCTGGTTTTGGGGCACATGGGCGGGAAAGGTGACCCCCCCCTGTCGGAACGAGAACGATTAGTTATTAGGACCGTTTTGGGGGTCCTCAAGTGCATCTCTGGGGCCATCGTAGGGCATCCTTGAGGCCTTGCCAATTCATCGAGGGCGACACGGCGACCAGTCACACATATGGTCGGATCGCTAGCTTCTGAATGGGTGTTGGCCTCTCGGGGATGTCTGTGAGATATTCTGTTGCTACTTGGGGCCTTCTTGGGATGGTCGTGGTGCATCATGGAGATACGCCGTTGCTGCCTTGGGCCAGTGTGGCGTATGTTGGGCCATGTTGGGCTATCTTGGGCCCTCTTGGGGCCGCATGGGGCCCATGTACTCGCTCCAATCGGCCTTCCCCCCCATCCAGAGCCTGGGGGAGGGGACAGGAGAAGGGGTACATCTCCCCGAATAGAGAAGGATGTTGGAAGAAGGACGAATGAGAAACAAACCGGCCACGGGCGATAATATAACATACCCCCTCTTCCTCCCTCTAGTTTCATTATCGCCGTTCAACAAGATTTACTTCTGGAGGTCGTCGCGGAGGCCGAACTTTATAATCCACGGGGGAAGTTGCGAGCCGAAGTTGCTATCATCTCGTCCTGACTAGCACCATCATCAAACATGCTGAGCATGGCCATGGTGGTCTCACCACACCAGCGCCCGCAATCATGAGCGTGGGGCAGAGATGTGGGATCCTCACCCGTTCAGTTTGCCCAAGTTACGAACATGCGGCAGGGCCATGTGACCCTCATGTTCTCAACCGTTTCCGGGTCAGGCACGCGTGGCAGGGTCATGGGGACCGATTGGATTTTGATGGCACGTGCGTTTTTTCCAGCAGACAAACCATTGGAACCAATTTCTTTGTTAGCGCATCCCTCACACGGTTCGTGGCCCTCCTCCTCCTCCTCTACCCCCGCAGCTGCCCAGGCCCGAGCTCCCCCGAGTTCCCGAGACTCCAAGCTTTCGAGCCTCTTCGAGGCGCCGAGCCTCTTCGCCCCAAGGGCAGCGGCAGCGATGAGGGGGGATATGCGTACCGAACCTGCCCAAGAACGTGCGGATTCACGATCGTGCGCGCATCGCCGATGCATCGGCGATGTGTCGCCGATTCCAGGTCGATGTTCTCCCCCCTCCCCCAATGCGCATCCTCCCCACATCGTTGCCCCTGAGTGCGTCGCGAGCCTCGGCCGTGCCCCAGGCCGCCGAGCGCGCCGCTGCGGCGAGCCTCCCCGTCGAGGCCCTCAAGCAGGTGGTGGCCCAGAGCGCGAGCCCGAACTCGAACGAGATCCTCGAGCGCATGGCGAAGCAGAACGTTGCAATCCTCGACGAGCTTCCGTTCGTCGCCGACAAGGTAGCGATCGCCGAGATGCGCCAGTGCCAATCGAGCGCGCAAGGCACGGATGCAGCGAGGATGACGGCCTGCCTTTTCGAGGCCGAGGGCGCCTCGAGGCCGAGCAACGCCCGGCAAGCCGTCCGCGAGATGGGCTACAACGGCGGGTCTCCCAAGAGCATCGAGCACGGCCGCATCTTCAACGAGAAGAACAAAAGGTGCATCGAGCTGGCCGTGGCGTTGTTCTACAATACCTACTGCGAGAATGACGAGCACGTCTGCGACATCTTCGAGAACCGCGGAGAGCCGCCCGAAAACTTTGTCCCGGTCCATGCCGAGCTTCAAGGCCAAGATGCACGAGCTCGCCACGAAGAAGGTCATCGAGCTCGGCGCCGAGAACGTCGAGCGCCTCACCCACGGCCCCCGCGCCGAGCGCGTCGGCAAGGCCCTCCCCGACATCCCCGCCGAGCTCCTCCACCTCCACGACTTAGCGCTGCCGTTCAACAAGGAGTTCGGTCCCGTCGAGAAGTGGGGCGAGGAGCCCTCGGGTATGAATGCCGAGCAGCTCTTCGAGTTGATTCCGAGCAAGGCCAAACAGTGGGTCACTTGGCGCCGCGAGAACGGCGCGGTTTCGAGCCATGTGACCGCCGGGGCCACCGCGCAAGCGGTCGCCGAGTGATGCTGGAGCGCGAAGAGGACAGCCGACATGGCGCACGAGCCCCAGGAGCAGAGCTATCAGGACAGGCGCTCCAAGCTGTACTACTCGAGCACCGTCAAGCAGCAGGACATCGAGACAACGCTTCTCGACCAGCACATCAAGCTGAATTCCGAGACGTTCGCCAAGATCCACGCCGAGCACGACGAGATCATCAACCAGCGCGAGCCCGAGAGGAGCCAGGCCGGCGCGGAGGCCGCGCCAGGGGCCGCCGACAAGTTCACGCCCGTGGGCGCCTGGGAGCCTGGTGCGCGAGCGCCCCGAACCAAGCGCCCCCATGCTTTTCGCTGCGAGGGCGCCGTTTCGAGGCGCGCGCTCGAGCCCCATCTGCTTTTCAAGCTCCATGCGAGCGTTCGAGCACGCGGAAGTGGCGTTCCAAGCCGCGGGGCGCTACCCCCCCCTCTCGCCAAGTGATTGTCGATCGAGCATCGAGCATTCAAGCAGGCTCGATCCTCCATCCTCGGGTTGATGACCCGAGACTTAGAGTCCGAGCATTTTCGTGCACCTTGGGTCCTAGATCCGAGGATCGCCAGGCTCAGACTCGAAGATCTCGGGTTCGCGATCCGAGGTTCGAGGGTCGAGCCTCGGCGATCCTCGATCGTCGCCGTCGCTGTCGTCAGGCCCAGGCCGCCATCATGGAGGCTCGATCCTCGGATCGAGGATCCGAGATCTTGGTTCCGAGCATATTCGAGCGCCTTGGATCTTGGGGCCGAGGATCGCCAAGCTTGGGCTCGAAGATCTCGGGTTCGCGATCCGAGGATCGAGTTTCCAGCCTCGGCGATGGTAGACCGCCCTCGTCGCCGTCCTCGGGCCCGCGCTGCCATCGAGCAGGCTCGATCCTTCATCCTCGGACCGAGGATCGGGGACCGTGGTCTTGAGCATATGTGAGCATTTCGGATCCCGGATCCGAGGGTCGCCAAGCTTGGACGCGACGATCTCGGGTTCGACATCCGAGGCTCGAGGGCGGAGCCTCGGCGATGGTAGATCGCCCACCTCGCCGCCCTCGGGCGCTCAGACCGCCATCGAGGAGGCTCGATCCTTCATCCCCGGATCGAGGATGCGAGATCTTGATTCCAAGCGCCTGGGCGCCTTGGGTCCTAGATCCGAGGATTGCAGCGCTTGGACTCGACGATCTCGGGTTCGACATCCGAGGCGCGAGGGCCGAGCCTCGGCGATAGTTAGTTGATCGCCCCCCTCGCCGTCCTCGGGCGCTCAGACTGCCATCGAGAAGGCTCGGTCCTCCGTCCTCGGATCGAGGATCCGAGATCCTGGTTCCAAGAATTTCTGAGCGCCGTGGATCCTGCATCCGAGGATCGCAACGCTTGGGCTCGAAGATCTCGGTTTCGACATCCGAGGATTGAGGATCGAGCCTCGACTACCGTCGATCCCCCTCGTCGCCGTCGTCGGGCCCAGGCTGCCATCGAGCAGGATCGATCCTTCATCCTCGGGCCGAGGGTCCGAGACCTTGGACTTGGGCATGCGCGAGCATCTCGGATCCTAGATCCGAGGATCGCCAAGCTTGGGCCTCAGGATCACGGGCCCTCGATCCGGGGATCGAGGGGTGAGCCTCGACACCTGGCGGTCGCGCGCACGCGCGCAGACGCACGCGCGCACGAACGCACCAACGCACGCACACACGCACGCGTACGCACACACGCGCACACACACACACGCACTCGCGCACTCGCACAGTCGCACACTCACACACTCTCACACTCCCACACGCACACTAGCACGCTCACACACAGTCACACACACACAACAACAACAACAACAACAGCACGCACAACAACAGTCACGACAGCAAGAGCAACCAGCTAAACAGCATTAGCAGTAGGCCACAGCAGCCACAAGACAAACGACAGGAGCACAAGCACCAGCTGCACTAGCGACAAATAACAACACTATAAACAACAAGAGCACAATCAACAAGACGAACAACAACATCAACCCGATAAACAACAAGAGCAACAAACAACCGCGGCCCATTTAGGCTCAAGCATTCCAGGCCGGCTGAGGACGTAGCACGCCATGGCCGAGTCGGACAGCGACGGTCGTCGGTCTTTCGCCGGGCGGCCGGACGGAGACAGCGTCGTCTCGCCGAAGCTCCTCGTCGAGCACGCGCAGGGCGACGCGCGGGCCAGAGGGCGCGCAGACCGACTTCGAGGAGGTGAAGACCGGGGGCGGCGACAAGCAGCGCAGGGAGACGCAACCCGCCACGCTGGAGGAGGACGTCAGCAAGCCCGAGGACAAGAGCCTCGACGACAAGAGGCTAGAGGACAAGAAGGTCAAGCTCGAGGTCAAGCCGGAGGACAAGAGGGAAGGTCAAGCTGCAGGTCAAGCTGGAGGACAAGAAGGTCAAGTTGGAGGCCAAGAAGGGCACCTGAAAGCTCGGAGACAACACCCACTCCGAGAATTAACCTGGCAGAAGACCCTACCATATGCAGTTGTGGTTACCGCAATTGTGAATATCTTCTTCGGTGGCGCGCCCTATGGGGCCACGAAGCGTCGTGATGGGTGGGTGAAACGCAGGGAGCAAGGGCCGTGTTGGGTGGTGGCGGACGCATGCGGGCGGCGCCACTGGGACCTTCGGTGGAGCCCTCTACGGGGCCACGAAACGCTGTACTGGGTGGGTGAAACGAAAGGAGCAATGGCTGCACTGGGCGGTGGCGGACGCATGCGGGCGGTGCCACTGGGACCTTCCGTGGAGCTCCCTATGAGACCAGGAAGCGCTGTGCTGGGTGGGTGAAACGTAGGGAGCAAGGGCTGTGCTGGGTGGTGGCGGACGCACGCGGGCGGCGCCACTGGGGCCTTCGGTGGGGCCCCCTATGGGGCCACGGAACGCTGTACTGGGTGGGTGAAACGAAAGGGGCCATGGCTGTGCTGGGTGGTGGCGGACGCATGCGGGCGGCGCCACTGGGACCTTCGGTGGAGCTCCTCATCGGGCCACGAAGCGCTGTACTGGGTGAGTGAAATGCAGGGAGCAAGGGCCGTGTTGGGTGGTGGTGGACGCATGCGGGCGGTGCCAATGGGACCTTCCGTGGGGCTCCCTATGGGGCCACGAAGCGCTGCACTGGGTGCGTGAAACGCAGGGGGCAAGGGCTGTGTTGGGTGGTGGCGGACGCACGCGGGCGATGCCACTGGGATCTTCCGTGGGGCTCCCTATGGGGCCACGAAGCGCTGTACTGGGTGGGTGAAACGCAGGGAGCAAGGGCTGCGCTGGGTGGTGGCGAGCGCACGCGGGCGGTGCCACGGGGACCTTCGGTGGAGCTCCCTGTGGGGCCACGAAGCGTTGTACTGGGTGGGTGAAACGCAGGGAGGAAGGGCTGCGCCCCACAATTTGCTTAAGACTGCCCCGAGATGGTCGCCGGAGACGCTTCAGGGCCCAGGGCTCCAAGATGGTCGGAGACGCCCCGACAAAGTAGTACGGCGTTAAACAAACGGACACCACGGGAACCAGCTGAATGCGCTTTAAAGCGTCGCGGTGTCAAACGGACAGCACGGGAATCAGCATTATGCACCATATAGGCATCCTCTTATTCGTTTCGTCCTCCTCGCAAGTCATGCCCACTTGTCCTCCACGACAGGGGTTGCATGAATCACGCCGTTCCCGTAAGTGGGGCGAGACGTCTTAGGGCGCCCGATCGGACCTTCTGCTTCTGCTTCTGCATTTGTGTCACACCGCCCGTGCGGCATCGGCAGTCCCGAACGTTTGCTCGATGTACTTCCACGCTTTGTTGTATGAGCAACGAGCAAAGTTGCGAGCAATAGTTGGACATGCCCTGACGCCGTGAGATGCCAGCAAACGGGGGCCGGGGCACTCGGCTTGAATATTTCATCGACATGTTGGACCTTCCGCTGCCCGCGGACAGCACAAACAACACGCCATGGGCCAGCCGCTTACGAGCTTGAGCAAACGCATGGCGTGCGCGTTCATTCCCCGCAGAGATCACCCCTCATATTGGCGAGGTCGGCCTGCACCAGCGCGCGAGGGTTGCGAGTGGAGGGGCGAGAAAAAAAACAACTAGCTGGGGAGCACGATCCCTTGGCAAACGCAACTTTGTTGTGACACGCTGTGCATCGAGGTCGACCAGCCTACAGCCAACCTTGGCGCCTGGCGCACCAAATTGCGTAATTTTTTGAGAACCTGAGCCTTATTCTTGCAAGTATATCCGAACTACTCGAGGATTTTGATTCGGTCCGCAGACCATTTGGCCCAGTTGTCGACTTCGTCTTCGAGCTCGATCAATTTCTAGGCCAAACCAGCCTGCACACGAGCACGAGAGGTATGGGCCCGAACTGTAACCGACGTGAAATCCGAAACTCCACCCCAGTCACGAATTCAGGCCAACACCATTCACCAGACGCGCGACCAGACACTTTTGCTGCGACGACAGTGCTTCTCACCTCTGGCCACGACCCGAGACGGCATGAGGACAGAACCCGTAGAATCACAAGAACCTGATGCGCCGCCGCTTCGTCTGCCTCCACCGCATCCTCTTTTTCCTCTTCCCCTCCCCCCTCGTCTCCCTCCCCCCTCCCGCCCCCCCGGCACACGGCGGGCGGCCCAGCCAGGGACACGGGTGCGAAGTGGTTGCGCCGTGTCGGCGCGGCCTGGCTGTTTCTCTCTTGCGCCTGGAGGCCGCTCTCGAGCCGTGCGCGACCATCAGCGCTCGATCCAGGGTGGAATCTCGGGCCGAACAACAGGGGGGGATAGGGAAAGGGGGTGTTACGACATCTGCTGCATGCAGCTGGTTTCCGCCCCGCCACAGGGCCCATTCCTCGATACATGGGCGCCTCCGGGCGCCGGGAGGCGCTGGGAAAATCAGCTACGCGAGCTGATTCTCAAACCCCCCTTTTGTTATCTCCCCCTTTCGCCCGTCCCGAGAATCCTCGCCCAGGTTGACCCCGGCGGTTTTCCCTGGCGCTTCTGATGTGAAGTTGGGCCTGTCGTAGCAATGGTTTCCGGTAGCGGTCGTCACCCGCGGGGAAGGGTTGGGTCTTGGGTGACGGTAGCGCTTGGGCAAGGTGGGGCACGTTGGGACGGGTGCGCGTTGCGATCGCCAGGGTACGCGCGCAGGTACCAACAAGTGCGGGGGGTCCCCCCTCTTCGCCTTGCGTACGATCGTTAGCGTCACCGGGGGGGGTCGTCCTGGGTAACGATGGTAACGCGCCACAGGATAAACAAAACAAACTAATGTGTTAGTGCTTTCGGCCATGCGGGCCCAGCCGCTGGGGCCTTCGGTGGGGCTCTCTCTGGGGGTATGAAGCGAAACACTGGGGGCACGAAGCAAGCCAGGCCTAGGATCAGGAAGCGGAGGAGGAGGGGGAGGGGGAGGGAGGAGGGAGGGGGAGCCGTGGCGCTTCGGATCCAAGGCGAGGGCCCACCTCACAGAAGGGTTGGAAACAACCTCTCGGTGGCTTCTGCCGTGGACTCTCTGCCCCCAGGCCAGGGTTCGTTTCGATTCCTCCTCGGTGCGGTCCGCTCTCGATCGACTCCGATTCGCATTCCGATCTGGATGTTTTTTTTTCTCATTGGAGCCGATATTCGCCTGGTGATTTCCGCCGATCTGATTCCTTCCGATTTGGTTGCCGATTCTCAGGAGGAGAAAAAACACACAGACACAATTCATCGTCGATTCCCCAGAAAATATCGGAAAATATGGGCAGTGGGGGGGAAGACAGAAACCCAGAAAATATAGAAAAATATGGGGAATCATCTTACTTATGTGTATTTGTTTGTGTGTCCCAGGGCCCCTTCAATTCCCCCCGATCCGATCAATGTTGATCGCCGATCCGATCTGGGCCCTCCTGTCAGGCGGACGTGTCCGCGCTCCTCTCGGAGGAGGCGGCGCCGGGCCCCAACTGAGAGGCAGTAGGCGCCGCTCCGCGCTGCGGCACGGCGCCTCTCGCGCGAGGCTGGGGTTAATTAAGTCGGACCTGTCCCCCTAAAGGGTGATGTTCGACGAAAAAGATGCCCAAAGAATAATCAAGAAATAGTCCAAAAATAGTATGAGGATTCTTTGTTGAGCATTGTTTGACCGTTTTCTGACCATGTTTGGTGTATTTTTTTATTTTTCGTCGACAATCCCCCTGTAGGGGGACACGCCCGACACAAGGCCGGGGCTCGATGGGTGGTTGGGGGCGCGGACGCGGGCCGCGGCGTCGGGCCGCTGTCGTGCTCCGGGCCGCCCAGATGTGGCCGAAGTGCAGTCGGAACAGGGACGGAAACGCGTACAAGGCCCCAACAGCAAGTACCGACATGGGTACCGAAAGAATGGGTACAATGCCCAACAGCAGTTCCTGTTCATTTTGAACAGGACTCGCTGTCCGCGCCGCCGTGGCCTGTGTCCATTCGAGACAGAAGGCCGCCTGCCAAACAGCGGCTGCTGTTGGTTTGGGACAACATTTGCTGTTGGGCATTGTACCCATTCTTTCGGTACCCATTTCGGGCGGCCAAAAGAGCAGAAGGTCATCCAGGGTTGGAGCCAGCCGGTTCCAGCCAAGAGGGAGGGGGGAAGGGGTTCGAGGTTTTGGATTCGGGCACGCGTTTTGCTTCTTTCGGTTTCTTGGGGCAGGTTTTGGGCTCTGAGACCGTCAACAACGGATCTGGGGCGAGAAATTGCGCCAGATGGGCCCCTGCTTTTTGATTGATTCTCTCGGGGCCCAACCAGCTCAGACCCCCTGGCCGCCTTCAATGACGGACAAAAATATACTACAAGAGCTCCGCCAGCAAAAAGACACCAAAACAACGGGTCACCCAGGATCCTTTCCGAGGAGTCACCCGACCAGGACTGCCTGGCCTATGGAGTTTGTCATTCGGGAGATAAGAAGTTACCGTGGTGCACCTGCATGCAGGCTGGTTTCTTATCTGACACTCTCGCTGTAGATGGGGCCAGGGGATCGCCCCCATCGCCGATCCGTGTACGACAGGGATCGTTCCCCTGAGATCCAACGTTATAAATACATGACAGCATCGCAAAACATCGCGAACGGACTCCTAGACCTCATCATTCTCCGGTAACGTTTCGAACCAGGTCGATCTGTGGCCGCCCCGGGGCTCGATTTGTGGGCGAGAGCGCCCGGCGCGTGAACGGTTGCAGTGCGCGCTTCTCGTGGTGTGGAGCACGATGTTCTCCACCCCAGCGTCGCCGAGGCGGCGCCGATGCATCGGCGATGCGGCGCGACCTTCCGATCCCACCCTCTCGGGCCGGACGAAAGGGGGGGGAATAGGGAAACGGGGGGGTACGAGATTTGCTGCGTGAAGCTGGTTTCGGCCCCACCGAGTGGCCCATACCTCGATACGTGGCCGCAGGAGGCGCCCGGAAAATCAGCTGCGCGAGCGCATTCTCGACCCCCCCTTTTGCCATCCCCCGCTTTCGCCCGGCCTCGATCCTCTTAGACCCCATTTGGGCGGCTTCCACGAGCGGGGCATCGCTTCTGGGCGGCACCTTTTTGCTGCTCGCCCGGGGCCCCCCGCCAGGAGCGCCGCCCTCCGCGGAAGGCCAGTCGAGGCAACGTGAGAGCCTCGCCGGGCCTCGGGTCCTCCCGCCTCCCCCGCGGCTTGCCCCCTGTTCCCGCTCCCTCCTCCCTTCTCCTCCTCCCTCCTCCCTCCTTCCTCCTTACTCCTTCCTCCTCCTCCCGCCTCGGCTCCTGGGGCTCCCCCCCTCCAGGGAGGACCGGCACCCCAAGGGACCCCAGGAGCAGCCGGAAGGATGGGTCCGCCCTTGCTCGTTCCTTCCTCCTCCTTCCTCGTTCCTCCTTCCTCCCTCCCCCCCCTCCCCCTCCCTCCTCCCTTTTCCTCCCTCCTCCCTCCCTTCCCTCCCTCCTCCCTCCTTCCTCCTTACTCCTCCTCCTCCTCCTCGTTCCTCCTCCCTCCCTCCCCCCTCCCTCCTCCCTCATCCCTTTTCCCCCTCCTCCCTCCTCCTTCTCCTCCCTCCTCCCTCCTTCCTCCTTACTCCTTCCTCCTCCTCCCTCGTTCCTCCTCCCCTCCCTCCCGCCATCACCTCTCTCCTCCATCCTCCCACCCGCCCCCTGTACCTCGCGGGCGGCACTGCCCGGGACACGGGTGTGAAAGGCTGGCGCAGTGTCGTCGCGGCATGGTTGTTTTCGGTGTCCAGAAGCCGTTTTCGATTGTTGGGGCCGTCAATCATTTACAGTTGGCTTGGAAGGATCCTGGCGGTACTCCCATGCGTTTCGCTCAGTTTTTGTGGCCCTCCAGGAGGCTTACCGTCGCAATGGCTGGATCCGCCTCGAAAGCGGAAGACAGGGATGGACCTCGGGAGGGATCGTGGGGACAGAGAGTAAGCGGAGTTCCCAGGGAGATGCGACGTTGCAGAAAGCCGCAACATCGCATCGCGCCACGACAGGAGCCCCAGAACCCGTCCTACTGCTGCAGCTTCCGAGCCGGACCGATTCGCGACAGGGACGGTCCAGGAGCCCCAGGTCGGGCGAAGACGCAGCGCGTGAAACATTTGCAGCGCGCAGATCGGGTCGTCCTGGACCTCTGGCAGGGGCCGCGCGGGATCCAGCGTGAGCGGATCCGGGGCCGGCGGGGGCGCCGCCGTCCAAGACATCTTGGCGCCGGAAGCCGCTCGAGGCGTGGGCCCCCGGAGGTCTGGGCAATCTCCCCGCAGGGTCGGATTCTCGTCGAGGGCCTCTGCTGTGGACAGCCCCGGGGCCCGTCCGAGGGCGCCCGGAGGCCGAAGGGGGCAGAGACCGGTCGCTCCGAGGTCTGGTCGGAGCCCTCGGTCGTTGTCGTCGTTGTCTCAGAGGGCCCTCCTCTGCTCTGGGCCCTTTCATTGTGCGCTGCGTTTTGGCGGCCCGCTCGGGGCGCCCCTGCCACGAGCGCCCCTCTTCGGGGGAGGAGAAGACATCGACTGACCCAGGTATCCGACGAACGGTCCCTCTCGAACCCATGGTTTCTGTTTCATTTGAATTTGCACATATATATATATATATATATATATGTGTGTGTATCACTCTTCCTTTGAGTTTGGGCGTTGCACTTTCGTTCACGCAAGGCGTTTTCGAATGGTTTTGGGCGCCTGGCTTCGTGCCCCGGGACCCTCGCATGTTGATCCCACTTGAAAGATGCCCCAGAAAGATTGGGTACAGGGCTCGGGTCGTGATTTTTGATGCCATGCTGCAATGTTTGTTGCCACGTCGGATCTCACTTCAGCCGGCTGGCTTCCCTTGAGATCTGCCCTTGGGGGCCGTTCTCTGGCGCCAGGGAGCTCTCGTCACCACGGTTGGACTATCCTCGATATTTTGTTTGGGACGCGTTTTTGAAGCGGTCTGGGGATTAGCGGTATTGTTATGTTTTTGCTCCCCCTTCTCGCTTCCACATGCGACGGTGCAGCGTTGCTCGGATTAATCTAGGTGCGCACTGACGTATTCATTGTTTCTCTGCCCCTCAGCCGGCCTGAACTGTTGGCGGTCGTGGGCACAGCATGCCAGCATGCGCGCGCCGCACACGCGTCAGGTTTCTTTGGCTCTCGTTCTGGAGACAGCGGATAATGTACGGTGAGCTTGAGTTTTCCTTGCAGATGTACCTACATGCCAGTAGTTTATGGCCGATCCCAGATGATGGCGTAATTCGCTAATGCAGTGATCACGACGTGGAAAGGGCCGCCGAGCAATGCTGTACAGACGTCTGTTTGTGCAGTGTAGTGCCAGTTGCTCGCGAGCTGATGTTCATGTTATCGTCCTGAGTGTGCCGCCTCACGCATCGCCCACACCACGCTGCAGTCACTCACTGAACTGGCCGCGGTGCCCATTCCGCCCCGACCCTGAGGAGAGGTAAAAAAACGACGCAGCAGCCGGGAGATGGCAAGAAGGGGACAAGAAGCGGCACGGGGAGCAGCAGAGAAGATACGGAGCAGTGGCGCAGCAGGCAGAGCAGGGGGACGGGCGCACAGTGGGTCAGGGCGTAGCAAGGGAGCAGCATGGTCCCGGCGGGTCGCCAGTTGACCAGAGCCGAAGACACAATTGCATATCATAAATTCTTCACGTTTTGCGTGTCCCCTCCCGACCTCCGTAGCCATTTTGGCTCAAGCCATTTTGGCACAAGCCCCGATGCCATGTCGTTCTGGATAGTCTCAAGAAGTCGTTATGCCCTTCGAAACTTCGACCAGAACTGTGGGAGGGACATGATTGAGAATGTGGTTCGTGCCGAGGCTTGGGGCTTATGTAGGCACCTCCGTGATGATCCTCACGCCGCGCTCCTCCTCACTGACTTCGCTTCTGCATTCCCGAGCCTTGCACACAGAGTTGGTTATTCTTTGTCTTAGAGCAGATGAACATTCCCTTGGCCATTGTTCGTTTCCTTCGCATGATGTATGATGCCAATCGGGCGGTTGTCACCCTTGCAGGTCGTCGGTTTCAAGAGGTCTCGATCGAGTCGGGAGTGAAACAAAGGTGTCCTGCCTCCATGTTCTTGTTCGTTCTGGCGGTGGAACCGCTGCTGAAGTGGATTCGCCACAGTTGCGCGGTGAACATTAGCCTCAATCTTGCGTACGCAGATGACTTCCTTTTTGGCCTGATGAATGTGCTTGTCGACCTAGACCCGCTCCTGTCTGTGCTGATGAATCTACAACATATTGCCAATTTGAAGCTTAACTGCAAGAAATGTCAGATCCTGCTTTGTGGGAGCACGAAGGAGGAATTATGCCGTACCGTGCTGGCGAGTGATGGCACCCCTTTTTCGCAATTTCAAGTGGTTCGTTGGGCGCTTTACCTTGGATTTCCCATTGGCCCTGAGGCGGCCGTCCACGTGTGGCCCGACATCCTCCCTGGCTTTTAAGAAAGAGTTCTCCAAATTCGCCAACACGGACTAGGTCTGGCACAGAGCGCGATGGCCTTTAGAGTGATGTGTGTCTCCAAGTTGTTGTACCGATTGCTGCTGTACCCGCCGAGTCCCCTGCTTATCCACCAATTTCGTGAAGCTGGTATGCGTTTGACATCGGGGCCTCGTAATGCCATTTCATATAACATCGCCGTTAATCTCAAATCGATTGGTTTTGGATCCGAGTTTGTCGAGATCCTTGCCGTCTCTCGTGCCGCGCAGATGCGTTACTTCCTTCGGTCGCATAGTACGCACGGGGTTTTTGAAGACCTGGAGGCAAGTCGGGAGGATCTGGAACATATCCCTTATCGCTGGCATGTTGGGTGGAATCCGGATTCCTTCCTGGTCTATGCGGGACGATCGAGATATTGGTTTCTTGGGCTGCACCTAAGTCTCTCAACGGGGACCCCAAAGCTGCAACACCAGCTTTACCTCGCATTCCGTGCTCTTCAACAGTCTGAACCTGCTCGACAGACTATCCTGCGTCGAATCCATCTGTTGAATTTCACGCTGGGCATGGAGCATGTTGATCGTTTTTGCAAAGCGATTCGTCGTGTGTGTGCTGCTACCTCTATGTATGTGGGAGTCGCTCCGCTCAGACTGATCACGGGCTCAGTGTGCACGTCTGCCCGTTTTCATTCGCGCGCTGCCGGCTGCTTATTCGGATGTCACTTTGCTGCGAGAGAAGATCTGAATTCAGTTCGGCACTACTCCCAAAGCCCTAACCTCGAAACCCTCTTGAGATCGTGGTTGGGTGATGAGTTAGAAGTCAGTTGCGGACAAGTGAGACACCGTTGGTTCCTCTTTTGCTCCCTCCTCTTCTTTGATTCTTTACCGGCCACTCTAAAGCGCGCTGCCTGTGTCGACGCTTCCCTTGCTGCGCTCAACCCGAGGAGGTTGAGACGAGATGCTTCGCCCGAAGACGTCTTTGAAGCTCGCCTGCGCGTGCTTGCTCGAAGGCATCGTGTGCTGGCGAACACCGGGTGTTTCGCCTCGACTTCTCCTCGCCCCGCGGCGCGTCGGCGCTCTCTTCCCAGCGGAGCGCCCCCTGCAGCGCGTGCGCCTGGCACGCCGCGGGGTAGATGGGACCTCCCGAGAGAAGAAGCGCCGCCGACGCGCTGTGGCGAGATCTGTGCTGCTCGACGCCGCCGTCGACCGCCTTCTACAACAAACTGAAATATCTCGGTGAGAACCTTTGTTTGTTAAACAAATTGCGGCTTGACAATGCAGTGGAGCGCCGCGCTGCGGTTGCTTCGCGACGGAATTTGATTGGGCGTGCAACCCGTCCCAAACCACTACGCTGCGATTGTCGGCGCATGCGTGAAAGGCGGGCAATGGCAACGCGCGTTGTCAGTGCTCAGTGAGACGCGGGAGGCGAAGCTGGAGCCCGATGTCATCAGCTACGGCGCTGGGATCAGCGCGCGCGAGAAGGGCGAGCAGTGGCAGCGGGCGCTGGCGCTGCTGAGCGAGATGCGGGAGGCGAAGCTGGGCCCCAACGTCATCTACACTACAACGCAGGGACGCGTTCGTGCGGGAAGTGCGGGCGCTGGCGGGGCGTAGCCGGCCTCCCTGGTCGCCCCCGACGGCCCGAGACGCACCGGATGGCCACAGAGCGCCCACGACGGCCCAAGAGGGCCTTCGACTAGGTCCCACAGCGCTCCGAGATGCCCCAGCTAGGCGCCAGACGACCCAAAAGTCCTCCCGAGACGCTCCATGTCTGTTCCATGACGACCCTCACAAAAACCATAGCAATAACAAATCGTTGAAATTCCGTTGGGAAGCAAGTTTTGGTTTCCAGGTCCACTGCTGTTCGTCCACTGCGATGTCCACGCGGCCCTACTGGCCCTCCAGATCACCCCACCACGCCTCTGGAATCCCCCTGGACGGCCCCAAGACGGCCCCACGATGGCTCTTGAGGCGCCGATGGCAGCCCAAGAGGCTGCCACGACAGCGCCACGACGGTCCCAAAACGAGTCAAGACGGCTCCAAGACGGCCCCAGAGGCGCTAAGACGGCCGAAGAGACCCACAAGACCGCCCAAGGACGGCCCAACAGGCCTCCAAGCGCGTCCCCAGACGGCCCAGGGAGCCCCAAGATGGCCCAAGAGGCGCCCAAGACGCCCCCCGAGGATCCCAAGCCAGGCCGACGAGGGGGCCAAAGAAAGGGGAACAACCTTGATACTCCGAGCCCTGGGCCCCCATACGCCCACACAATGCCCTGAGACTCTACCCCCCAGGAGGCCTCCAAGAGCTTCCAACAGTACTTCGAAGCATGCCCCCAGAGTCCACAATCTTTAATGTTTCAATGGTTTTTGAAGGAGTTTTGCCTTCTCGCCTTCTCGGCTAGCCGACGCTCCAAGACGGCCGAAGAGACCCGCAAGACCGCTCCGGGACGGCCCACCAGGCCCCCAAGCGCGTCCCCAGACGGCCCAGGGAGCCCCAATATGGCCCAAGAGGCGCCCAAGCCGGCCCCAGAGGACCCCAAGCCAGGGCCCCCAGGAGGCCTCCAAGAGCCAATAATTGCCCCATTCGCACCGGAAAACGTACAGTTTTGATATGCTCGCTCTTTTCGTCTTCACCGCGTCCAAGACGGCTACGCAGGACTTCCCGATCGCCCCAAGACGGCCCCAGAGCACCCCAGGAGGGCCCTCAAACGGCTACACAGGCCCCCCACCTCGCCCCAAGACGCGCCCAGAGGCCCCCAAAGGACCACACGGCCCCGACGGCCCAGGACGCACCCGAGACAGCCCCAAGAGCAGCCAAGACTTGCCAACGGGACGGCTCCGAGAGGCTCCAGGGGGCGCCAAGACGGAGCCCCAAGGCAGCCCCAGAGGCCCCCAAGGCAGGCCAGGAGGCCCCCACCAAGACGGCCCAGGAGGGCCTCCAGGAGAGCCCCAAGAGGCCCAAACCGTCCCATTCCCGACGGGACACGCACATTTACGCTATATTTTTTCCGGTCCTCGCAGCGTCCGTCCTCGCAGCGTCCAGAAGGCTATGCAGGCCCCCCAGCTCGCCCCAAGACGCGCCCAGACGCCCCCATGAGGGCGCCCAAAGGGCCACACACTGCCCCGGGACGGCTCCAGAGGCGCCCGAGACGGCCCAAGACGCACCCAAGACAGCCCCAAGAGCAGTGCATACTGGCCCAAGACGGCCCCACCGCGCCGTCTCCAAGATGGCTGCAGAGGCCCCCGCCGCCCCGTCTCCAAGTCTTTCTGTTTGGGCAGTCTTCAAGGCGGTTTCTGGGCCGCCCGGGCCGGCTCCAGAGGCGCCCGAGCCGGCTCAAGAAACACCACAGACGCCCCCAGTAGCGCACAATATTGGCCAAAGATGGCCCCAAGATTGTCTCAAGATGATCCGAGTTGCGCCCAAGACGGCCCCACTCCGCCCCAAGACGGCCCAAGATGCATTCAATGCTGCCAAAGAGGGCCCCGAGAGACCCACCCCCAGGAGGACAAAAAGAGGCCCCCAAGCGGCCCCCGAGAGGCCTTGGATGCTTCTCTCTTGGGGAGCGTCGAACTTCCAGCATCGCGTTGGAGGCTTCTTGGACCCTCTGGGAGCCATCTCTGCGCTATTTGGGGACGCATTGGGGAGGTGCGCTCGAAAAATCGATTCGTCTCCTCGCACCGAGGCCCTTCTTAGCGAGTTCCGTCTCGCCGCCCTCTTGCGGGCCTCCTAGGTCGCGCCCATTGGCCCCATTGTTACCGGACTGCCAGATGAAATTATCATTCGGCCCCGGCGAAGAGCAGATAAACTTCTCACGGCTACCTTCCCCGCAGAAGCTATGATGAACACCGAATGCGGCGTCAGAAACAGCTTCTGCCCACACCGTGTCATGCCCACATGGGTGTGCGTCCACTGACACCGCCTCCACCACCGCGTTCCTGCCTTCAGGCCTGCTTGCCTGCACCCCTCTTCCCCTCCAGCGGCCACCTCCTCCATCCACGCCGTCCCCTCCACCCCCCCCCCCCCTTACCCGCGAGGCCCCAGAGACGCCCCGCTTCCACGTGCGCGCCAGGGCGGGCAAATTCCGCGGCCGGAGGCCGCGGGTCAGCCCTAGTCTGTACTACAATTCCGGGCGAAGCGCGCGCGAGAAGGTCAGGCAGTGGCAGCGCCCCGGGCCGCCCAGAGAGCTCGCGGGCCGCCCGGAGAGCCTCCGGGCCGCTGCCCGACGGGCCCGGGAGGCCCCCGGACCGCTGGCGGACTGATCCAGGATTCCCAGATCGCCCCAAGACGGCCTCAGGAGGTCCCGAAGACGGCCCAAGACGGTCCAAGAGTGGATCCGAGACGCTCAAGATGGCTTCAAGACGCCTTCAAGACGGCCCGAGACGCTTCCACGAGGCCCCCAGAGCGCTCGAAGTGCACCTCCAAGAGGGGCCGCAGAAGCCACAATCGTTGATTTTTGTTTTCGATGTTTCTGGCCTTCTCGCTTTTTCGGCTTTCGGACGCTCCAAGACCGCCCAAGAGGCCCCCCAGAGCGTTCCAAGACGGCCCAAGAGGCCTTCAAGACGGCCCCAAGACGGCCCAAGAGGGCCCCAAGACGGCCCAGGAGTCGCCCAAGACGGCCCAAGAGGCCCCAAGAAGGCCCCAAGGGAGGTCCAAGTCAGGGACCCGGAACCGAAAAATCGAGGCCTCCACCCCAAGAGATCCCAAGACGCCCCAAGACAGCCCAAGACGGCCCCGCAAGACTGCCCCAAAGGGCCCCGGGACGCCCCAAGACAGCCCAGAACGGCGCCAGAGGGCCCCAAGAGGCCCCCAAGACGGCCCCAGGGGGCTCCGGGACGCCCCAAGATAGGCCCAAGACGCCGAAGATTGGGCAAAGACGGTCCCAGAGGCGGCCAAAATGCTCAAAGAGGCCCCCCAAGAGGCTTCCCAGCAGGGCCCCGAGAGCGAGAAATCGTAGATTTTCATTGTGTTTTTACATGTGTCTCGCATTCTCCCCTTTTCGCTGTCCCTGCGCTCCAAGACGGCCCAAGAGGTCTCCAAGACCGCTCCAAGACCACCGACGAGGCCCGCAAGAGGGCCTCAAGACGGGCCAGAGGGCCCCCAGACGCCCCATGACAGCCCAGGACGGCCCCAGAGGGCCCCGGGACGCCCCAAGATGGGCCCAAGACGCGCCAAGAGGGCCCCAAGAGGCCCCCAAGACGGCCCCAGAGGGCCCCAAGACAGCCCAAGGACGGCCCAGGAGGCGCCCAAGATGACCCCAAGCGGCACCCAAGACGGCCCCAAGAGCGGCCCGGACGGCCCACGACAGCGCCAGAGGTGCCCATGCGGGCCTCAGACGGTCCCGAGACGGCCCAAGAGGCACCCAAGACGGCCCAAGAGAAGCTCACGAGCCCCTGGGCGGCCCAAGTGAAGTCCAAAAAGGCTCCGAAACAGCTCCCACGGACCCTGAGTGGCTTCAGATTTGCCTCCAGGAGGGGGGGGGGGGCGGGCGAGAGGCTGGAGGGGGGTGAACGAGCAGTGCGCGGGGCCAAGCTGCTGGAGCGCTGCAAGAGCTCAGACACGAAGGCGCGGTCTCGCTGCCGCCGCCCGAGCCGCCGCCGCGTTTGTAGATTTTCGGTGCAATCTGCGCCGTTCCTCCGAGAACCATTCCAGAAAGATGTCGTGGACGGAGTCCACGGGTCAGCCCTAGTCAGCTACAACGCCAGGATCAGCGCGTGCGAGAAGGGCGAGCAGTGGCGGCGGGCGCGCCCTGGCGTTGTTGAGCGAGATGCGGGAGGCGAAGCTGGGGCGCAACGTCATCAGCAACGGCGCTGGGATCAGCGCCCGCAAGAAGGGCGAGCAGTGGCAGCGGGTGCTGGAGTTGTTGAGCGAGATGCGGGAGGCGAAGCTGGGGCCCAACATCAGCTACAGCGCTGAGATCAGCGCGCGCGAGAAGGGCCAGCAGCGGCAGCGGGCGCTGGCGCTGCTGAGCGAGATGCGGGGGGCGAAGCTGGAGCCCGACGTCATCAGCCAGAACGCTGGGATCAGCGCGCGCGAGAAGGGCGAGCAGTGGCAGCGGGCGCTGGCGCTGCTGAGCGAGATGCGGGAGGCGATGCTGGAGCCCAACATCATCAGCTACACCGCTGGGATCAGCGCGCGCGCGAAGGGCGAGCAGCGGCAGCAGGCGCTGGCGTTGTGGAGCGAGATGCGGGAGGCGAAGCTGGAGCCCGACGTCGTCAGCTACAACGCTGCGATCGTCGCTCTGCTGCGCGGATGCGATGCGGCGGGCTAATTTGGTAGCTTCAACGCCGGCAGCGGACCCTGGCGTTGTTGAGCGAGGTGTGCGAGCCGAAGCTGCAGCGCGGGGTTCAGCGCACGCGCGCGAAGGGTGAGCGCTGGCAGCGGGCCCTGGCGCTACTGAGCGAGATGCCGAAGGGTGAGCGTTGGCAGCGGGCCCTGGCGCTACTGAGCGAGATGCGGGAGGCGAAGCTGCAGCTAATTGCAGGCAGCTTCAGCCCTGCGATCGTCGCTCTGCTGCGGGGAGACGATGCGACGGGCTAGTCAGCCACGACGCTGAGGAACAGCGCGCGAGTACAGGTGGTCAGCGGCCGCGGGCTCTGGCGCTGTTGAACGAGATGTCGGGGGCGATGCTGGGAGCCGGGCGCTGTCATATTTTAAGCGCTGTGATCACTGGGTGCAAGGAAGGACGAGCAGTGGCAGCCGACGCAGGCGCTGCCCAGCGAGATGCGGGAGGCAGCGCTGGAGACGAACGCCATCACCAATTGCAGCGCTGGCATCACCGCTCGCTGGACGGGCAACGGATGGCAACAGACTCCGTCGCTGCTCATCGAGGCGTGGTCGGCGAAGTCGGGCCCCGACATTATCAGTTACAGCGCTGGGATCAGCGCGCGCGGCAAGGGCGAGCAGTGGCAGCGGGCGCCGGCGTTGCTCGGCCAGGTGCTCGAACGTTGTAGCCCAGCCTCATATTGGCCACCGCGACGGGATCAGCCGTTGCGAGAAGGGCAAGCAGTCGCAGCAGGCCTCGTCGCTGATCTGCGCAACGTGGGGGGCAAAACTGTAGCCCGACGTCGTCGGCTACAGCGCTGGGATCAGCGCGCGCGAGAAGGGCAAGCCCAACGTCATCAGCTACAGCGCTGGGATCAGCGCGCGCGAGAGGGGGGGGCAGCGGCAGCGGGCGCTAGCGTTGTTGAGCGAGACGCGGGAGGCCAAGTTGGGGCCCGACGGCGTCAGCTACAGCGGTGGGGCCAGCGCGTGCGAGATGGGCGAGCAGTGGCAACGGGCGCTGGCGCTGCTGAGCGAGATGCGAGAGGCGAAGCTGGAGCCCGACGTCATCAGCTACAACGCTGGGATCAGCGCGCGCGAGAAGGGCGAGCAGTGGCAGCGGGCGCTGGCGCTGCTGAGCGAGATGCGGGAGGCGAAGCTGGAGCCCGACGTCATCACCCACAACGCTGGGATCAGCGCGCGCGCGAGAAGGGCGAGCAGTGGCAGCTGGGCCTGACGCTGCTGAGCGAGATGCGGGAGGCAAAGTTGGAGTCCTCTGTCTTCGCCCCACTTGCGCTGTCCGCGTTGTGGCCCGACCAAGTCTTCCGCTTAGCGACTTCTTAGACGGCGCCCAGCTGCTTGCGTCGCTCGCGATCAAAAAAGTGCACCCCCGGCCCGTTCAGAAACTTTGCCCATGAGAGTGAACGGGCAAATGGACGACGAGACACATATAGTGAACAAAAAAGCGGGCAGCGAAAAGGGGTGGCGTTGGAGGCCTTTTTTGGGTCATCTTTGGGGCCCGCGGCGAGGCGAGGAGGAGGAGGAGGAAAAGGAGGAGGAGGAGGAGGAAATGGCACACCGCCTCTTATGGCCCTCGTTGGGCGCTCTTGGGGCGCTCTTGGGCGCTCTGTGGGGCTATCCTGGGGCCTTCTTGGGGCTCGCTTGGGGCCCTCCTGGGGATCCTGGAAGGCCTCTTGGGGCCATCTTGTAGGGCGTCGATCAAAGGAGGGGGGGTTCTCGATTGTCCTATCTCCCTGGGGCCATCGGCATGGTGTCTGGGGGCCCCTTGGGGCCATATGGGGACATTATTGGGGCTCTCTTGGGCCATCTTGGGGCAGCCTTGAGGCCTCAGAAGCGCATCGGGCGCGAAAGGGCGAGAAAATGCACACACACACACACACACACACGCACACACGCACACACTCTCTCTCTCTCTCTCTTTCTCTCTCTCTCTCTCTCTCTCACACCATTGATTTTCCCTTGTGTGTTAAATGGTTTTGGCCTCTGGGGAAAAGGGTCCAGAAAGGGGGCTCCGAGAGCACTTGGGACCGTCTTGTGGCTCTCGTCGGTCCTCTCGGAGGTATGTCGAACGCCATATTGCATCATCTTCGACTTTGAGCCGCCTCGGATTCCGCCTTGGAGCATCGGGTGTTCTCTTGGAACCATCTTGGGCGAGAACGTGCCACCTCGTGCACCTCCTTTCCCAAACAACAAAAAATCCGGAGGGAGGGGGGGAGGGTACCCTTCCCCAAAGGGAAGAGGGCGTTCGAAGGATGAACGAGAAGCATTGTTAGACTGCTACACCTCCTACGCCAAAAGGGCTGATGGTATTATCGGAATTCCGTGCGGACTTTGTAGATCTGTGGTGGGACCCTTGGCGCGCTCAGCACGCCAGGGAGGACGGTTCAGCGCAGATCCCATCCATCCGCTTGGACATTCGAAATTCCGTCGCTAAGGTGGCTGCATTCTGACCAGAGTCGGCTCCAGCCTGGCCTGGGTTGGACGCGGTGTCTCACCGAATGGTGCGGTTTCGTATCGGAGGTGCGCGTTGGGTCCAGACAGCCTATGGGTGCCGTAAAGGCGACGCTCTCGACCCGCGCCAGCAAGCACGTGGAAGCTCGGAGAACAGCGTCCGGGACGGGGGGCGGCGGCGGCGGCGGAACAGTTCGTGGTTTTCGAAGACTCCTCAAAGCAACACGGGACCGCTGTGCGAACAAGAGCTGCAGTAGCCCTGGTGGTGTCAAACAAGACTCGAGCACCCCCGGCAGGCTCAAAACGCAGCCATGGGGATTCCACAGGGTATGTAACGGGTCGATAAGCCATTACCCTACCATAATCAGAAACGCCCTGTGGACTGGCTCCAATAGTCACGGACGACTCGGTGAAAAGGCTGAGGAAGAAGCGGAACGCCAGATGAAGTAGAAGTTATGGTGAAGGAATCGTGTCAGCAGAGTTGACCCGTGCAGACTGAAAGAACATAGTTGGGGCATTAATATGTTGAGCAAAGCACGTCGATCCCATGCTGTTCATGACCGTACGTTCTTCCTGTAACGTCTCTTTGGGACTGAGCGGTTCTGGTCATAGTGATAGCACGTGCAAGTGGCAAAGTAGTCTTCATGGATTGCCTGGTGTCAAACGCATCCAAGAGGCAACGTTTGACTTCTTGGCCAGAGGGGCTACTAGAGTCGACTCAGCGGGACTTCTTGTTGGCACCATGTGTCATTTGTTTCTCCTCTTGTGTCTTGTGGTCGCTGGTCACTTGGAACAGGACGTCCTCAAGTTCGTCCATGAAGTGCTGTCGACGCCTCAGTGGGTCATCGTGTGCGGTACGTGTGTTTTCAAGTTGATGTGAGTGCAGGTGCACGGTGATGCATGCGAAAGTAGACGGGATGTTCACTGCATAGTCGTGGAGCCCAGGAAAGGAGAAGAGAGTTCTAGTTGTTTCGTAGAGGATCCAGGGCTCAGGTGCTTCATGGATGCGCGGCCGAGCGGGGGTGCTTGAGGAGGGTACCCGGCCTCCCCTTCCCACCCAATTCGCTGGCCCACACCAGACACAGTTCGTTGCGCTCGGAAACAGCATCCCTATCCCGTTGTCTTCCAGTCTCTCGTTTCTCCTCTCTCTCTCTCTCTCGTTCATCTTCTCTCTCTCTCTGTTTCTCTCTTTCTTTCTTTTTCTCTCTCTCTCTCTCTCTCTTTTGTTAGTCTTTCTTCATGGAGCCGGGGGAAATGGAATGTGAACAGGCAATGGTGCAGGATCTGGGGTCCGCGGGCTACTCACAATCAGAGGGCACGGCTCACCGGCCCCCCGATCCTCTCATCCCCCGATCGCCTCTCTTCGCCCTCTGTGCAGAGAGGGCCGCCAGGGGGGATGGAGGTGTGACGTATGGCATGTCTGCTTCGGCTTCCGCTGCCATGTGTTGTGCCCAGCCTTTGAAAAGGCTGTGCACGTGCATCTGGAGCGCCGTAGTGGAGAGGTGCGGCATGGCCCGCCAAACGGCTGTCACCAGCGCTGCTTTGGATCGGCCATCTGGACACTCAGTTTCCACGGCTTCCGCCGTAGATTTGGATTGACCCGGGCAGCAGCCAGCTCGGTGAGTGCGCCTGCACTCCCATATCCTCGAGGACGCCGAGAACGCAGGATCCTGACGCTTGCCAGATCTTTACATTTCCTTCGAATCCCTGTCGAGACACCACACACCGAAGATTGCTCGCTGAGCCACTCAAGTGAACTGCACGTCTCCAACGCGGCAATGACAAGCCTTGCCGGACGAATTTTGTTGGTGTGGACGGCGGTTTGTTTGCGAAGCTCCAGTGCAATGATACTCGACCGCACGCAAAGCAATAAACGACGATCCACTTTGGAGCAGCATTTGCGCCTGCATGCGCGAATGCAAATCTTGTGGTACCACCATAGGTGGAAGCCCTTGCAGCAGTGCCCAGCCCGCCATTCGTGAGAAAGGGGAGAAGGGATGGAGTGGAATCACTGTGTATTCAGATGATTAGGGACGGACGACACAAAATGAGGACGATCGGGAAAGACGGGGAGGTGCAGCATACATCTATATGTGTATATGTATGTGTATGTATGAATGTATTTATGTATGGATGTATGTATGTATGCATGTATGTAAGAATATATGTATGTATGTATGTATGCATGCATGTATGCATGCATGCATGCATGTATGTATGTATGTATGTATGTAAGTGTGTGTTTATGTGTTTATATTTTCATATAGTCACAGGCATACATAACACATCTGCGCACATCTGTACCTATAGTCCATGTATGCACGAGGATCTCTCCTGGGCCTCATTTTGGCAGTCTTGAGGTTGTATTGGCCTCTTGTGGTGCAGTTTTGGGGGTTCCTTAGCAGATTCGGTTGTTTTTGAGGCCCCTCGGGCAGTGTTGAATAATCCCGGCCGTTCAGAGGTCGATTGGGGCCGTTGTGGGCCATTTTGGCACCTTCTAGGCCGTCGTGAGTTTTGGAGACCATCTTGTGCCAGCCTGGGGTTTCCATCCAGGGAACCGTGTGGGGCTCTTCGTTCGCCCTGCTGGGCATTTGAAAGACCGCAGGTAGAGGTGTATTCGACCGAGGAGCGTGGATGTAGAAACACAAAGAAGAGCAGCAGGACAATTACTGCGTGTGGCCGCTCGAGGCCCTCCTCGAACGTGTTAGGGGTACCTTAGGTGTTTCTCAGAAGTTGCCTGGTGCTCCTTGAGGCAATCTCAGATTGTTTGCGGGCTCTCTTTGATACCTCTTGTGCCGTCCTGAGGCCATTTTGGATGCATGCTGGGTTCTCTTGATTTGGCAAAGGTCCGCACAATTGAGGCTGCAACGTCCTGCTAATACCCACGGGGCCTCAGTGATTCTGGCTCTGGACACTGTTGTGGGTTCTGTTGTGTTTGTTTGTCTCTCTTGGGTGCATATAGGGTCCCTTAGAAGCCGTATTACTTGGAGGGTGTGTCCCAAAGGTGGGACACAAGTTTGCCTGATTCCGCTGACTCTCTGGTTCAAGGCAGCGCCGTCCTATTTCGGGGTTGCTTGCACTTGATGCGCGGTGTTGGCAGGAGAAAAGTGTCCTGCTTCTCTTCTGTCACCATCCGACTATTCAGCGGCCTTGTGTCATTTACTTTGCTATTGACAGTCGTGTCTGGGAGCTACCCTTTCAAACTTGGTAGCCATGCTGGTGCAGCCGCGGCAGTTTTGCTCACCATTGCCCTTATGTAAAACGTGCGCAAGGGCCACCTACCCGCAGGACGACTACGACATGAGCAACAGGGACCACTTCGTGGGCCCCGACACCAACGCTACCGGTGCTCCTACTCTGCCATTTACCCGGGCCAACGACGCGCGAAGAGACTCGACCGACGGAATGGAAGCATTTTTCCCCACCAGCACTTCGTCGCGCGCGCGGGGGGGCGGCCCTCGACCGCCACAGCGACATCTACAACATCTGCTACTACGTCTTCGACTCCGCTTCAATTCGCCGTCGCGCGTGGAAGCGCGAACGACTCAGGCCTCCGCCACATGTACCCCTGCGTCTTCAACTGCGACCTCATTCGGCGCCACTCTTGGAGACGCGACTGATTTGCACATCTCCGCAACATTCGCCACTACCTCTACGACTGCGACCTCGTCTGCTTTCGCGCGCGGGGACGCAAGCGACCCGTTTACCTCCGACCCGCGGGCTCGCCGACTCGCGAGCGATTCCTTGCCCCCAGCAGATCGCGGGGGCGACAGGCGCCATCCCGCCTCCAGAACTTCAGCAAGTATTCCGACTCATCTACCCCAGGAGGTTTCATTGTTTGGGAATGGTGGCACATGGATTACTGGCTTTGGCCATTGGCGCCGTCGTC